TTCAGGACGGGGCAATCATAGTCTCCATCCTGCTGAAACTACTGCTGGCTGATGGTGTCGGCACAGCTGCGTTGCGACGAGCGGAAAACCACTGGGAGGACTCTCGGCCACCTCTCTTGATTTATTGTCACCCGATTCCCGCTGTCGTCCTCAGGACCTCGAAGCACAGGTGGCTAAGTATACATGCCCTGTGCGTACATTATACCTTTTTTTTCTGACGTTTTACCGATTGAGGCGAAACTATGCATGAGTTCAGAGATAGGGCGAGCTGATAGGGTCTGCTTAGGGCCGAAAACTGGGCGGTATTTACCCTTTGTTTTAATGACGGACCCTCTCTAAGAGTTGAATTTCGACCTTCTCAGTTTTATGCCTACTGCTCGGTGTAGTTGTGATCAAAAATGGTTTAAGCATGCAAGAAAATAATTTTATTGATGTACCTTGCACGTGTTAAAATTGGAAGTGATTCGGACTCTTACTTCTCGAGATATTTAAGTTTTAAATCATGACCTTACTTTTGGGACACCCGGTACATTGATAGGTATACCGAAAGCTGATTTTTGCAAGATATAAGAATAACGAGAGGCGGCAGGCGCAAAAAGTCATTATTTGTCGCAAAAGGGAAAGTTGTGGGAAGGCGTAGGACCGGATCTAGGTATAAAGAGCAGAAGTAGCATTCAAAGGCGGCAACCACCACACTGTCTATCGAACCCTCGCGGCACGCATCGCCCTCTAGCCCATTTCAATAACGGGCCGTCCACTTTTTACCACACCGAGTTTGATCAGACTTTTTCGCCGCCGACCACGCCGCCGCCCGCCAAGGCCCCTCCCTTGTCCATTTTATTCACGAACGCGCGTTTTTGCGAGCCGCCTTTTTGCAACGCGTGGCCCACATTTGGTCAAAACGTGACACTTGTAAACAGGAAACGCCGCCCGGCTCGGTCGCAGGGGCGAGGCGGCGGCGGCAGCGGCTCGGCGAGCGGCTGAGCTCGGTAGGTGGCGCCACTGGACGGACGACTCGACACTGCTGATGTACGGGGTATGTATCAGTATGTACCGCCGGGTACGGACCAGATTCACCCGGACGTGACCGAAATGTGACCGGGACTCAGCCGAACTGTACTTTTGAGTGAGTGATTATGTAAAATGGCATGCAAAAGGTATACGAGAATTTTGATAATGTAACATTTTAATCAACGATGATATGCAATGCAACGATGATAGGTGCAATAGGTACCTAGGCACTCGGGGGCAGATTGATGTTCCACCACTCCCTACGCATCGGGCTCCCATGGCTCAGCACTGGCTGCTGCCAGTGTTGTCTGCCCTCAGCACTGCTCAGCACTGCCTGCCAGTGCCAGTGCTGCCAGTGCTGCCACTGGCAGCATCCAGTCCTGAGCCATGGGAGCCTGATGGGTAGGGAGTGGTGCCTGGTGGAACATCAATCTGCCCCCGAGTGTACCTAACTATTTAACAGTTTAAGTAGAAATTTAATTCATTTTTTTAGAAGTTTGAAAGGCCAGCTAGAGCTCCAAGCTAGAGCCTGGTGGGAATCCCAAGGCGCATTCAGGGAACACAGGCTTATGGCTCGCAGTGACCGAAAAAGGTAAAATTACCGTTCTTTTCTAAAGACAATTTTAATAGGGCCTTTTACAATTTACGACGTATTAGAACGTTCAAAAAAGTTTTCACAGGTTTGCTTTTTATGCATGAAAATGAATTTTATTTAATTTCACAATGGGATCTTCCGTCGACGATCTATGTAACTAAATGAAATACACCATCTGCTCAATAAGCCATAAGATAAGAAAGCGATGCCCGAACGCGTTGAGAAATTCAGGCATAGGAAAGCGAAGCCCGAGCGCATTCAGGAATTTTAAAGTAGGTAAGCCTAACCTTTTGGATGGCTATGTTTTCTCGCAGTGTTAGAAGGCGTTTTTTTTTTTTTTACCAGGAATAAACCAGCCGACATGGCCGATATCGCAATCCAAACAAAGAAGGCAAATGACGCATGTGAACCGAGTGAAGCCGTTTGACCTGCTGTCCCAGGGCACCTGCGTCACAGAGCCAGCATTAGCGCCGTCACGGTCTCGAGGTGTCGGTGTGACAGTCGCCGTGAAGGGCGGCCGTTGACCTATGCCGTTGAACGGAGCACTGTGCACTTGCAGACTCAGCAGTGGTCACCCGACACCGCCTCAGCGCTGGGGGCGCTCAGCTGCCCCCCCCCCCACCGGCGGGTCACTGTCCTTTCCGATCAACCCCGGGGGGGGGGGGGGGGGGCTCTGGTTCATGCTCGACCTTGGGCGACGACCCCCCCCCCAGTCCTGAACCCCTGACCAAGCCCAGTCCGCGGCCGTTCCTCCCGTCTTGATAGATCGTGATCGTGTCGTCACTCCCAGGCTGGCCGCTGCCAGAACAGAACCGCGGCTGATCACCGCTGAGGGGGGGGGGGGGGATCTGTGTCGCCTATTCATGATCCATGATCATTGCATATTGCGCGACACGGCCTGCGCACTGCTTACTTCGCACTGCTCACTGCACGACCAAACATGGACCCTCCCCACCGCTGCACGAATTTACAAGCCGGCGTAGTTATCTGATAACAAATGTGTCGAAACGGCACAAACCGATCGTGGTATGAGACTGAGCCGACTCACTGCTGGACAACCTCAGCGCGAGCGAAGGTCAGCCGCCGGGGTCATTGACCCTGAACTGGGACAGCGCAGCCGGTCGAACGGGTCGGCCGGGCCGTCGGGTTCGAGGTCGCCCGGGGGCCCGCCGTTGACGGCACTGATTCTCATCCAAACACACTGAAAACTTTTTTACCATTTCCTGAAGGGTAAACCCGCCATAGCATGGTAGCTTGACACACAGACGTTTTTTACCACCTTCCAGATGGTAAATTTTACTCTTTCATGAAGAGTAAACTCGCCAGGGAGGGGTAACATGACACACAGACGTTTTTTACCATCTTCTGAATGGTAAACTCTTTTGATTTACTCTTGTCTAGAGTGTAACATTTTTTGGGTTACACTCTTTGAAAGGGTAAATCTTAAACGGAACCCTTTTCTAGGGAGTAACGCATCATCTACTCTGTGCTTTACCCTCCTACAGAGAGTGTATTCTTCTGGCCTACCCTTTGTCACATGGTAATGTTTACTCTTTCCTTTAGTGTAAACCCCCCAGAGGATGGTAACAGACTCACAGACGCTTGCTTCAGAAGCTTCACGAAGCTTCTGTTAACCGGAGCTCACCAACTAAAAAAACATGCTTCAAGAGCAACAATGTATATTTGGCTTCCGTACAAACAATACGAGGGGCACACCAGCAATGAACATTGTGAGACTCTCCACTTATGCATACGAATTTATACGAAGCGTTCAGCAATGCACAAGCGGTAAATAAACACCACGATACAGCTTGAATGCACTTTGAATGTGAATACAAGACATTCAGCGCCCTCATATTGGATAAGGCACAGCGCACAATATTTGAAGAGAGCGACGGCGTTCCTGGGTGGTCGCCCGTATGCGTGAGATAATGAGACTGGATCACTACAGTGCAAGGCTTTTTCAAAGTCACCACAAAATGCATAAACTTGTAGCATCACAACAAAATTAATGTACGTACTCACAACCTAGGCCACGTGGCCGTGCACGGGGTCCTGTTAACCAGGTCAAATTAACACCACTCAGCGGCATGCAATGCTCTAGCACATCGGTACTTACAATAAAATGTCCACAGAGGCTCTATAGGCGATGAACAACACGCAAGCACAATCACCAACGGCCACGCCGCGCGGCACCGACACTGCTCACATCCGCTCTCGGAGACCAACGGTCGAAAACTGACAGATGCACGCGGCCTTCAAACCGCAAACGGCCGATCTCGTTTCTGATTGGCTGAGTGATTCCATTTCAAATATCATCTTCACGAGGGTAAACAAGATCCACGCATGAAACGACTATCTGTACACGAGTCACGATACCCAAAAGGAAAGAGTTTTCGTGATGTTCTGGATCGCGAGAGTAATATTGATATTTACATGGTAATAATACTCTTCGCTGGCGAATAAGTTCATATCAACCACGTACCGTTACTATGCACATAATGGTAGCAAAGAGTTACCCTTTCAATATACTCTTATCTTGCTGGTTTGATGAAAATGAATCCTCCAGGAGGTAGTAAAAAAGTTTTGAGTGGCGGCTGGACCGTGTGCTTGTTGGAATTACAGACGCACTGACAAACTGAATCGTCTTCAGTAAGCGGTAGGCAGATAGTTTTCAATGGACCATTACCATGTATGTATGTACAAATTCGTGATAGCATTCTGGAAGTTGAGATAATTGCAACATCGTTCTTCTTGCGCTGGATAATGAGTAAGGTTATATCCTTCAATCACATTTTTGATGGAATTTAAGCACGAACCTATTCATAGGCGGCGGAACGGGGAGGGCACCGGGGCACCGTGCCCCCTATTTTGGCATTTTAACATTAGCCCTATGGGCGTTGCCTGGAAAGAATGGGACCAAAAGTCGGCAGTGCCCGGCAAGGTGTTCCGCCGCTACTGAACCTATTCTTTGTTGCTATCAGTTGGTGATTGGTTGCTGAATCACACTTAAGTTACTCGAAAATCGAAATATGTTTGCATGCAACAAAATATCCAATGTCTTTCAGTACAACAAAAATGAATTCATGAGCATTCTTTCTTCTCGTACCTAACTTGATAAACCGGCCCAAGCATATTTCAAACCTCCAATTGTTCTGGCTGAGCTGCAGTGCTGTTGCCAGGCCGCAGAGACGGTCGCTCGCCTCACCCCCTCACCCTCCTCAGACCCCTCTCCCGTGCAGGGTAATCCCCGGGCCGGCCGGTGTCAGAGCGCGTGAGCCGAGATCAAAACTGCGTCACTGTCTCAGCCAATCAGCGTAAAGCGCGCCCTCTCACAGGGGGCAGGCCTGTCAGTTGAGACGCGCGAAGCAACAAGTCGCGGGAGAAGAAGGAACGTGGTGGACGTGGCATATTTGATTAGATAAGGTGTGGAAGATTCCTTACCAGTTCAGTTCCTTCGCAGTTCGCAGTTCCTTCCTTCGCAGTTCCTTCCTTCAGTTCCTTCGCACAGTTCCTTACCTGTGCGAGGCAAAGGTAAGGAACTGGAAAAATGTTGTTTTTGTTTGCAATGTTGTTTTTCGTAGCAATAGGGGAAGGTGGGGTAAGACGGCCCAGCGGGGCAAGACGGACCACCAGCCCTCCCGGCTGAACCGCTGCTGTTATCTACTGCTTTATGCACTCACTATGTTTGTTTTCCTTCGTAACAATGGCCACCTAGAGCTCATGCTGCTAGGATGCATAGCTTTTGAGTTATTGAGAAAAATGTTGTTTTTCGTCAAACCGATCTAATATAAGAGGTCTACGGGTGATTCAATTACGGCGCCTTTCTTGCATGATTAGTTTCTATTTTGCACTTAACTGTGAAGAACAAAGTTATAAACTTAGTTATAGTCACACTTTAGGAAAGGCAAGGTTTTGCAATGTTGGGCTATTTGACATATACGTCATGATAATGACAGAATTTAGATTTGGGGCAAGACGGACCACTGTGGTCCATCTTACCCTGTGGTGGTCCATTGTACCCTGCACATGGAAAGTTCTTTTCCAAAACATTGACACAAGTTTAAGTAAGCTAATTTTTCAGGAAGGAGTCTTTGTTGCATGTGAGCCATGCATGCAAGTGCTCAGTTAGCATGCATTCATGCCAAACGACAATCAACACACATGTTCCCAGCTTTTAGCTGCACTTCCATCACACATGAGTAAAGAATAAAGGTTCATTTTGTTATTTTACCATTCTGGTTACTTTTTCTTACAAGAGTACAGAGGAGAAGTGTAACACACATGAACGGATAGCAGGCACTGCTGGGTGGTCCGTCTTACCCCACGTTTTTTCTTGTCTGAGTTTTTGACATGTCCCTCTTTAAGAGCATCCACCACCTAGATGTCTTTAATTTGAAATTTAGTCTTTACACATATCAACAGAGGAAGGATTGAGCATTCCGAAGACTATAAATAATATGAATTACGAGAGCAGTGTAGCAAGATATGCGGCCTCAAACCTTAGCTGGTCCGTCTTACCCCACCTTCCCCTACGCGTAAATTGGTTGACTGCGGTCATGCAGGAAGTAGCGTGTCAGTGTTGGTGCTGCCGAGTGTGGTGATTTCAGTTGGGCAAACTAGGCTTCTGGAATAAAAAAATGGAGGCATCAAAAAATTGATTCTTCATGACCATATTTGGGCATAAATGTAGACCATTTCTAAATCACCATTCATCTAAAAATAAGCCAGTGTTGCAAGAAGGAACATGCCCAATATTGAACAGAAATGTTGCAACTCTCCACTGAGCACAATAATATTGCTTTAATCATAGTAATCTGACTTCTAAAGGGTTGAGAAAGTCAATCAATAAATTGATTCACTTTGAACAGATAATCAAAATATTGATTCCTCGCTCAGCTGGCTAATCATTATTTTGATTCACTTCACTGGTAATGTTAACAGGCAACAATTGCAATGGCTGGTAAGAATACAGCATTTATCTTGCTATCATTCCCATTTAGTGTTATCCTCAGCACCACAACAGATACCTATAGCATTGTTGTACTTTACATTCACCCCCCCCCCCCCCCCCCCATCTTGCTATTTCAATTTCATCTTGCCATTTTACATAAATACTTCTTGTCAAGTATGCAATTTATGATACAAAAATAAAATACTGTGTGATTTTCCCAAAACATCTTTTACGTGATGGACAGTGGCTCTGTCTTTTTCCCATTCACAAGGCCAAAGGGACAATAACTTAGTTTTGAGGTAACGCTTTTTGCATAGCATGCCTACCACATTTTTCTACCTATTTAAAGAAAAATTTCACCGTCATTGGCCTTTTTCAACCGTAACGATGCATTTGAAGTCATAAGTGTACCCAAATGAATAAAAAATTGATTCCATGCCCATATTTGGTCATGGCTCCTCCCACCAGAATCAAATTATTGATGCCTCCATATTTTGATTCCAGAAGTCTAGTTTGCCCAACTGATTTATTTTGGGGGCCGGCAGGTCAACGCCATCCACTCGTCAGCTTGTGTTGGTGTCCTGTGTGACAAACGCCACCCACTGATCAACATCTCTGTTTCATGTTCAACTCGATGAATATGAACAAAGGTGGCCTTCAGAAGGAGCGACTTGCATTGATCCCGAACTGACTGCCAGTCGTCAAAGGTGATGTACCGAGCTGAACAAGCGACTTTATTTCAGTCTCAACTCACCAAGATGACTAAATTAATGCATGTTTGCATGTAGCGTATGTAGCAGTTATCACACGGTCATTCTGGCTCCCTTTCTTCAAGAACCGTTATGATGTCGACAAAAAGTTAGCATCTGAGTATCAGCATCTGATTGCAATTGCACACCGCCTTGCCCTACGGTTCATGATCATGGGGAATGATCAGGGGATAGATATCCTCCGGTCCGCCTCGTGAAGTCGTACAACCGTGGTATGTGTGAGTTATGGGTATGTGTGAGTAAGGGCGGATAATTGGAGATTTCAACACCGGTTGCTGGGCAAAGGATGGAAATGGTTTCAGAATTAAGTGCCATGGGAAATGGTGCCATGGGAAAATCGAACTGGGATTACTGCCGCAAACTGACAATTAACGTGTCCTCCGATCAACTCCCCTTCTCATTTGGCTGTGAAAAGGCCGTAACACCCGGGCTTGTCTGCCTTCAGCTGTGGTGTGAGCCACCGCCAAATGGCTTATTCTCATGCACGTTGCACATACACATGCACATGTGAAAAGGCCGTCAACACCCGGGCTTGTCTGCCTTCAGCTGTGGTGTGAGCCACCGCCAAATGGCTTATTCTTATGCACATTGCACATACCTCAATTTTCAAAGTATCAGATATTATTTTCGATTAAAACACAAATAAATTCATGATGCGAAGATATTTATGGTAAAAGAGGTTTGGTGCTGATTTGGTCAAATAAGGTGCATTCGACAGATAGCCTGTCGTGAAAACGGCTATTACCTACCTATGAGCTTTCGCTATGAGCTTTTATGGTCACGGTAAGAGCTCTAGTTAAAACGCGTGATCTACTGGTCGAAGAATGTGACAGTCGCGTTTTGCCTCAGACTCTGAGCTAATATGTTGGTCAGTCATGTCTCAGTATACCGTAAGCCAGACCAGAAAAAGCGCAGGGTTGCATGCTGTCATAGGCATGCGGCAGGTCAATGACCTCTCGGTGGAGGTGCTGACCGCTGCCGAGCCATGGTCTCGGGGACTTCACAGAGGTTCCGTTAAAAAAAAACTGTGTCCCATGGGTCCCAGTCTCGGGTTCATATGTGACACGACTCTGTCTCGACTAGTCAAACTCGTGCAGTAATGAGCGTGACCCGGCCGCTGAACCGCTGAGGAGTGGGGTCTGACACGATGTGCACCGTGAGGCGTGCTCGGGAAACGGGTTACTGCTGTGGACTGCGAACAGGCGGGTGCGACTGTCTATCGCGGGACTCCCCTGCTGGGGCACAGAGCCGGACATTGACTCCTCGGTGGCGGGCGGACGGTCTACCGACCTCGTCTGACGCGACCCGACCTTGAGCGCAGCCGGTCGCGGTCACCGCTCCAGTGCCGGCCTCGCTAACGGTGCCGCTCCGCCCCGCCGCCGTTTTCGTCGCTCATTCATCGCCGGCGACCACGCCGCCGCCGCCGCCGCCCGCCCGCGCCCCAGCCGGCCGGCCGGAGCGTAGAGTCTTCCCGCCCGCCGCCGCCGCGCCGGCCGGTCGGTCGGTCGTTGACCCCAGCGGCGGCCGCTCGGCGCGTTGGCGGCGGACGGCCGGTCGGCGGGCAGAGGGCGACCACTCCAGGTACGGGAGAAGACAGAGCGCCGCCGCCGGACACGACGGCCCCGGGGTGCCGATAGGTCAGCTGCCGTCGGCGCGGCCTACGTCGGGCCCGCGACCGCCCCGGGCTAGAGATGCTATGGATACCGACCGGTTCCGGCGAAATTCCTCTCGGCGGCTCCCGACTCAACAGACGGGTCGGCCGCGTCCCGTGGCCCGCCTGGCAACGACTCCACCGCCACTGTCGCCGCCGCCACTGTCTAGACGGCTACGTCATGAGCGTCCATCATCTTTCGCCTCTTGGCACTGCCCGAACTGACCACAATACGCAGAGCCGGACTGACAGGTGCGTGTGGCCTCGCTGTAGGCTGCACCGGTTCCCCGAACCACGCCGGCCACTGGCGGCGAAAGGGCAGGATAACCGCGATCGAAGCAGCTGCCACCGATCTCCGGGAACGACGGACGTTCACCCCACCATGATGCATGCAACGAATCGTTTTTGAAATTGACCGTCGTCCGAGCGGCATTCGGTGAATGGTCTGTGGCACTGTGCCGGTTCCCACCCGTTCGCCACGGCCGAGCGTGTGGCGGCCGGCGCACCGTTAGCTCTGAGCGCCCGTCGGCCGAGAAATGGCAATGACCTTCGGCCCGGCCGGCGGACAGCGCCGACGGAGAGGCGCCGGGTCACCGCTGACGCCGCCGCCGGCGAAATAGACGTCCCCCTTCCCCCCGTCACGTGCCGCCCACAGAAAACACGGCGCTGCGGGCCGGCGGAGCGGCGGCCCGTTTTTCAGCGGCGCGCAGTTCCGCGTGGCCGCGGCCGTTGACCTGCACGCACATGGTCCGGAAGCGCGCCGAGTGTCTGTGCCACCTGAGCGGCTCCCTCCTGTCGACCCAGCGTTCTCGAGGGTGGCGATCGCTGACAGTGCGCATTGGCCAGCCGGCAGCCGGCCAGCCTGCAGATGCGCTCAGCTTTCCGACAACCGCGGTGCAACGGCCGAGGAAGGGTTCAACAACCTGCCGGGAACCCGGTGAACCCGTCCAGAGGGTAGGGGAGGGGCACACCGTATACCGGCGGCGACTGACGACTTCGTCCCGATCTGGTCTGACTGCGTTTGAAAGGTTTGGTCGCAGGATATGATGGGGGTTGGGGAGATGAGTGGTCCGTTTGAAGAGCCACGTGACCTGTGACCCTGGGTCGCCGAGGTGAGGACGGGCGGGTCCGAGGTCAGGGCTCAGTACCTGGTGGCGGCGATGACCGGCGCGGACCGCAGGAGGTTCTGGAGCCGTCCGGGACGGTGTGACTCACGTTTTCGCTGGCTCTGCGCTGTCGGCCATGGTCGGAGCGGAGCTGTCGGCGGGCACATAGGTGCCGGGCCCGGCCGCTGGCTGCTCCCGGGGTGTGGCCGTGGCCGCTCTCTGCTCCGCTCTCGCTCGCTATCACACAGCTCGCTCGTTGGCTGTCACTGGCGGCGCTCGCCTCACGCTGGCACGCTACACTGGTACTGGCGGCGCGGCGGCCGGCGGCTCATGGGCGGCGGGCTGCTGCCGGGCGGCGGCGGGCGCGGGCACTGCCGCCGCCGCCGACCGGCATAACGTAACGCGCCGCCCCGCCGCCGTGGCCGGGGTCAACGACCGCGCGCGCCGGCCGCCGACCAACGAGCAGCGCCGGCCGACCGGCCGACTACGGCCCGGCACGGCGGCACGGCACGCCGGGCGGCGCGCGGCCCGGTCCGGTCACGGCCGATGTCAAGGTGATCGGCGTCCGATGTCGTCCGGTGTGTGATCAGGAAATTGGCGGCTGTTTGATAGCAGGATGACTTGCACAATCTTCAGAGGTTTGGCTAACCGTCAGCAGACCGTCACTTGTTCACGTGGCTTCCAGACGGCGGGGGTGGCGACTGGCGACCCCGGGTCACCGCACAGGTCAGAGGTCGCGGATTGGCGGAGGAGGGCGCCGATAACTCGCGATCCTTCCTCCGATGCAGCCAGAGGAGAAATGACGCACCCGGCGGCCCGCCGTCTACCAACCTTTGTCCAACATTGCAGAGCAAAAACGACGTATCCAGACAAGGCCAAAACCGGGTTCTTGTTCGGTTAAGTCGTAATTACTTTTGTTTTGGTTTTTCGCAGAGGTCGATAGGTGTCTGGCACAAAGACTATTGATCCTGTCAGCAAACATGGTCACTGGTCAGTTCACAGACGAGTTCGCGAACCACCCAGAACACACGGCTTATTGGTGATCCGGAGCTTAGCTTAGCCTGAGCCCATATTCTTTTGTTTGAGGTAAATGACAACTTATTGTTAATTAAAAGAAAACCCTTTGCTAGCAAGTAGCTATACTGCATTTGTCAGAACCGAAACTGGTTTGAATGATTGTGATGAATGAAATTGAGGTGCTGTTCTCCGATTTCAACTTCACTTAAAGGCACATAGTATAAAAATGTATTATGAACATTCTTCTTCTCAGTACAAGCATTATGACACATCTTCAAAATGCACAAACACAGCATGCAGAAACAAGTCTAGGAGAGTTACATTTTTTTTCCAGCGGCAGTGTCTTTCGAGAAAAAAAAACAATACCCATATAAGGTCACACAACACAACAATGCATTACAATTTACAACTGCTTAAAACTGATCTGTCGTCTTCTCTGCCTTCTCACTGGAAAACACACTCGATAGGTATCCAACTTTTCTAGATGGCATTAAGTGGAACGCTAAGCTGCTCATTAAAGCACGAGATCAACATTAACGGTGCATGCCTCTGCTACATCGCTTTAGTTGCCCAGGGGATATAGCTATAGCAATCGGCAAACAACGAACGACGTTTAAAGTGTGGAGTTGGACATTTGGCTTGTTGTCAGCAATCAGTTACCATGCTTCATGCCCTAGCTGGTCCTACCAAATAATTATAGCAGACCTTGGACAGTTGTACCCTAACACACAAAAAGGCTCACAGTTTTGTATACGCCCGATATTATTCGGGAGAGACCGTTCCGTGTTATCCGTAGCCCGTAGGTACTCCAATGCGGGACTTTGTCTTCAGATAAATCGCGATGACAGCAGCCTGGGACATACATATGTTATCCCTAGCCTTCCACTTATGCAATTTGACGGTATTCTACTCTAATCGGCCCTGGTAAACATTGCAAACATCGAAAAAAATTCCTCTTGAACGGCATAAGCGACACGCCTGTCGGTATTGCGAACAACAGCTTCACGATAAAACGATCCCACCAGCTAACATTGGGTTACCACACAGAACACTTTGCTCCAACAGTGAACACTTCTTTGGCATTGCTACCCATGCTAAGTATTGCACCATGACATGACTCGGTGTAATAAATTCCCCGCCTGATGGGTAGACCTTGCTTTGTCATTCACCGCCCACATCAACATCCTGCGTTACGGGTTCCGTTGGAGTCCATCCATCTCCGCCACTCCCCCGTATCCGACCTTTGACCTTTGTCTTGACCCGGTCCGTGCAGCCCTCCCCTCACGGCGTCGGACGGGCATGCTGACCGGACGCCGGGCCCCCACGCCGTCCCCATTCAGCAGGCTCGTCCACCACCGGGCGGCGTGTGGGGAGTAGAGATGCCACTTTTGAACCCGCGAACCCGCTTTCTGCGGGTTCTCAAAACCCGCAGGGTTTTTGGCGGGTTCGAGAAGCAAAACTTGTCGTGTGGCGGGTATTTGGCGGTCAGACTTAAGAACCTATAAATTTATTTTTTTTAGATGCAAAACACAATGTCAAGTGCATTTGCTCAGGTTAACAATACAATATTCATCAAAACAACTTTTAAAACAGAACCAAATATAAAAATATATCAAGGTAGCACATTTCAAATGCAAAACTGAAAACAACCAGCAATAGCATCCACAGTCTAGCAATGACCAAACCAGGGTACAAGCAACAAACTACAAAGCATAAGTAAATGCTGATAAAAGCATTCCATAAAACATAAAAGAACCTGAAAGCAAACTTATAGGAAGCTGAACTGAAGTCTATGTGCAGTGTGCACTAGATACCTATACATTATGGAAGAACCCAGACTTAAATGAGATGTTGAAAATCAGAGCAAATGCCACATGTTACTTTATTTGCGTCTGGTCGGCATAAAAAAGAGCTATCAGCTAAACAAAATTTGATGCAATGCAAATTCATTAATTACCTATCCTACTCTATGTTCTGTCCCACCATATATTACGAAAATAACACCAATTACCCTTTCAAAAAATCAAAATATTGACTGGCATGCGGCCCAAACATAACGCAATACAAAACTGGCGCACTTCCGACATTCTGACAAGGATTGGCATTTGACTGCGTCAATTTTGGTCTCTGAGGCGAAGGAAAGCTGACATGATGACGCAATAATAATTTTACAATCAATTTTTCTGTTTTGGTTTTTGAATACCTCAAAATAACAGTTATACATGTTACAAAACCACGTAGCTGGTCGCATTTATTTCTTTTGTCTTTTTACTTGTCATTTGTATGCCGAGAGATGACCAGCCGGAGAGCATTACCAAGACCATCTGTAAAATTATTACATTTAATTTAGTATTTACTATCTCTTTATTTTTTAACAGGTGATTAACTCTGAATTGTAAAACTTTAGCTGTTGTGTAAAATAACTTTATCAGAATGGCACATGAATATGCATTATACAACGGTGTTTTCGCAACAAGTTCGCACTAACTACGGCTACAATAATTTAGTCGCTGTAACATTCCTTGCAATCAGCTGTTGGTGACGCTTCCAGAAACGCGTGGTTCATTGGTGGTTAGTTGGTTTTTGCTGGGATTTTGCATGATTTGTTTTATGTGTAGATCGACTGGATACTCATTATTCAACGTGTCACTATTTATTTTTAACTGGAAATCGCATCTTTTTATATCAACATTCATTTTGATAACAATATCATTCTAGAAACCTAATATTGAGAGGGAGCTAGTGTGAAATTTTGATCCTCAGCCAATGCTGAAGGGTAAGGTGAGAGAAAGATTTTACTGAACTCTTTTCAGAAAGGAATTTCAAATGTATTGATGCATTATTCATTTTCCACTATCCAGTGTGCACTTCCTGAGGACTTAGCATAGAAATTTCAAGTCCTTACTATTTGTTTGGCTGCCTTTTTCTGCACAGCAATGAAGCAAGTAAGGTTTATATAGCTCTAGCATTGACCCAGCTGTATTTTTTCTTGCAAAAGCAGGTTTTTAAAATTGCGGGTTTTTTGCGGGTTCGGCTCAGCCAAAATCAGCTTGCGGGTAGTTGTGGTTGGGCAAGGGGTAGCTGCGGGGCGGGGCGGGTAATGAAATTGCAAATTTGTGGCATCTCTAGTGGGGAGCGGTGGGTGGACGGGTCGCGAGGCCTTGCTCATTGGTCACGGGCCCCGGCGTCTGACCGGGCGTGACCCCGCCGGCGCGCAGCCTCGGGACAGTCCCTGACAGTGGTCCAGGCGGCAGGGCGTCACGTTACGGCCTCCGAGCACCGTCAGAGGTACACCTGTCAGAGGAGGAACTCGGTGTCAGTGGGACCCGAACTGGCGAGTTCGCTTTGTAAATTCTGGTCACCGATAAATAATTCACCCGTACCGTCTTTTCCATCCCCAGGATGCTGAAATCATTTTCCTCCATGCCGCAACCCTCAGTCCGGGCTGGACAGGCACCTTTATCTCATGCGGGCTGCTCCCATGGAGCGTCACCGCTGCTCCCGAGGGAGCACACCCGTAGCCGGGTGCAGACTCAGAGGGTGCTTGGGGGGCTGGTCGGCCTGTCCATTCGGACGGGCTCAGCCCCGGTGACTCTCAAGGGTGTCTCACCAGACCAATGTCTCACCCTAATTCCTATCATCCTTCCGGCTCTGAAATGGTCTTGTCAGACCGAAAGGGCCTAACCCAACAAAAAAGTAATTGAGACAAACAGCTGAACAGTTGCGAGCTATCAGCTAAGGCTAGCTTGCTACCAATGAAAATGCAATTCAGGCGCAAGATCAGCTGGTCCAAATCTCACTTTCCTCGACTAGATAGTAGGTTTGTATATTTTGTCCCGAGCAACCGCGACAAAACCACCGGGGGGAGGGGGAGCAGGCCCAACTTTCCCCTCTGTTGGGAGGATTACTCGACTTCATGCTTTTTTTTTAGCCGAGAATGACCACAGTGAAGCAACACATAATGATGAAATGCTATTATTGGCAACTTCCTGTCACTGACTCACTATAAAGGTGAAAATGGGCAAAATCTTTCCTCATTGACCTGTAATGGTGAGCTGACTAAGCTAATATTGATCTGTAATTAGCTTATTTACAGCGTTTATGTCGTTCAGCTTTACGAATGACGTCATAGGCCATTGGTATACATAATCTGATCCGAGAGTGACCGGTGAAGAAGTTCCGGCTAGATTCAAAACTTGTCTCTAATCGCAGTATTACATCTTGCCTTTGAAGAACCATTCATAATAAGCAATAATAAAATTTAAATATAAGAATAGTTAGTTATGTTTTGCATCGATTTTTGTGAAGTTAGCATAACTATTGACGCTTGTAAGTGATAACCGTCAGTTACTTATAGCGCCTGGGTGATCCGTATGAGCACCTCTTTTCCACCTACTCTGTAGGACCCAAGGACCCCTCGGCCCTCAGCCACCTCTATAGGACATCTAGAACCCCTCACCCACCCCTGAAGGACCCCCACCTACCTCTGTAGGACCCCCCCCCCCCACCTACCTCTGTAGGACCCCAGGCCGAGGCGCAGGTCGAACACACAGCCCCTGTAGCCGGGATACGAGCCCAGGTCGGCCGGTAGCGCCGCCTGGTCCTGTGTACCGCTGTATCCACCTGCAGGGCACACCGGACGGCGCGGTCATTGGACGGGTCAAAGGTCACATGAATCACGACAGGGCGGTGCACTGCTTCGGAATGTAGATGTCATAGTCGGGGTCGGATTTGACGTTACGGATGTCATATGACATTTGGCGTTAAATAACTGGTGAATGGTGCGCGATGCTGTCAAATAAGTAGTTCATAGCATTAACATGATGATGATTTAATCTCTTTATGATCTTTCACTAGAGAATTAATGTTATCCACGTTAGCGCTTTGAAGCTTTCCGAGCTGCTGGCCTCTAGGCCGTCCGCACGGTCCAAGCAGCTGCAGTTGGTTCAAACGGCCCGAATCTCGTCAGTTGGTCCATTGACGTCGTCAGTCATTCAGTGACACCGGCGGAGCGGAGCGGCTGTGACACCTCCGCCCGTTCAAATACGGAGTTAGTACACCTTTTTGCGTTGTTCGATGGCCAATCAGCAAAACCCATTCGTCCGATCAGCACATAGGTGGCGCCAGTGAGAGGCATTCCGGCAAAACCTTCAGCATATGGGCAAAACGGAATGCTGATGCCACTCCACAGTTCGTCAGTTGGTATTACCTTCGCTATTCGCCATAACTGATTGAGTTCCGGCAAAACCTTTGACGATTTGGATAAATGCTTCGTCTTTCGTTAATATCCCTTCGCCGTTCACCAAAACATCCCCATGCTAATTTCGGCATTCCTCATAACATTCCGTCAAAACTAAAAACAGATCGCCCCTTTACAGAGAAGTATAAATATGACCGCGTTTATACAGTGCAGTGCGAGGCATAGGTGGCGAAACTTGTAGACCATTGATCTACATAAAAATCGGTAGCGTTCATGAGCGCCATAGGTACAATGTAGATGGACGTAGCTGACATGTTATCGGCTGATTGAAAAATGGTCAGGCAACAGAGCAACAGGCTGGATAAGTTAACCCCGCCTCAAACACCAAGGAACAGGCAACAGGCTGGATAAGTCAGCCCCGCCCCGAAAAACAAGGTGTCCGGCCGGCAGGACCCGGCTTGCCATCTGTCAGCCATTCTCTCGCGAGTCCGACCGGCGCGGCCGCCCGAGGCGTTGTCCCATGACATCGCACGGGCAGTGACGCGATAATGACGGCTGACTTCGTGGTTTGTATCGAAGCGTTTAGGAGTCCGACGCTCAAGAATCTACATGCCTACTCGGTATGGCGCCGGCAGTCTCCTCGTAGCTATGGTATAACTGCCTTTTTCGGAATTCAATGGTTAACCCTCGCCCGCACATGGGGGGGGGGGGGGGTTGCCACCCCCCCCAGGCAGTCTTTCTGCTCTGCACTCAACATTTTTAGAGCTAAAAGGCTGATTTTTCGTATAGCTGCTTGTCTATCCTTTCTTGATGTCCACTGAAAATTTCAAGTTTCTGTGATTTTTGGTTTCGGAGATATGACCTTGTTTTTCAGGTCATGTCATGACCCAAATGGCCAATTCTCAACATCTTGCGTTTGCCATGGGCCTTGTGAGCTTTTGACACCCTGATTTCGGCCTTTTTTGCCAGTCTTACCTCCCACCTATCATGGAACATGTTGTTCGACGATGTACAGGGGTCAAGGTCAGGGTCAAGGTCAACCTAGGTCATCTAAGATAATTGCGTTTTAGGCAAGCTGAATTTACTTTTTGTGAAGTTTTTTGACTGCATTTTTGGTAAAAGCTTCTCAGATCATGATTTCATGTGATATGGACCCAAAAACAATCGGTGCGCACATCAGTATACACACAGACACACACAGACATACAAACACATATAATTGACCTTGACCTAACTTGACCTGAAATGACATCAGCAGCAAAATTCTGGTCGGATAGTGTGACAAAGAGGTTCTAGCTGGCTTGGCACCAGAAACCAGCATCGTCATCGGTATTTGATAAGCAGCGCACTTGATATCCAACGGTGACCCAAAACAGCAACATTTTTTAGTTTGACCTGACCTGGAAGGTCAATGACTGACCTGAGAAGGTAAAACTGGGTATCATTGGATTCGTCTCTTCCCAAAGAATCTTTTTGGTCGTTACTGCTAAGCTCTATCTCCAACAGGAACGTAATGGCGCGGGGGGTGGCAACCACCCCCCCCCCCCCATGTGCGTTCTAGGATGGGAAAATGGCATGTGCGGGCGAGGGTTAATTGGTTGCAAATTGCGCTGGAACTGTCATAAGCCTCATCCCTGAATGCGTGATTAACGTTAAACATTGAATATGGCTAGATAAGCACTACATCATTGACATTTTGATCATTGACGAAAGTTTTAAATAAACAGTCATTGTTTACGCACAGTACCGATGAATTTTGCACATCGACTAACCGTTTTGTGAAATGTCGAAGCATTATGACAATCTGACAAAGTGTTTTGCCTATGACGAACATTGTGCTCAATGACAAAGAGTTATGCAGAATGGTTAAATGGAGTCCAGCCTGTTTTGCCGACCGTCTAACAGTGATGCACATCGCCGATGGGTTATTCTGAATGACGCTTGTCCAAATGATGCCGAAATGGTTATGACGATTGGCCATCGAACAACGCAAAAAGGTGTAGTTACCCTCTGAATGTCTCACCCCCCCCCCCCCCCTCCCTCCCCGCCCGCCCGCGCGGCACCGGTCATTGACCCGGAGCCGGAGTCAGTCAGCTGGCCGTAGGTACCCCGCTTACTGACCTATATGCAGCACGTTGCGCACGTCCAGCTTTGTGTAGTCGCCCGGCGCGCGAGCGGTCACCACACGCTGGGCGTTCACCTGGCGGGTCATGACCGGTCAGAGAGGGTCGCGCGGCGAGTCTCACCGCTGGACTATTGGAACTTGTTAGAAGGTGCACGATTCAATCGGACAAATGACTATCTGATGCAGCTGTGCAGCAAAATCGTGAGCATTGAACGTTGGTGGCAATGTTGTAATGTAAGTTTATCGATAAATAATCAACAAGTCATGTTTGATAGCCCCCATTTCCGTCAAACTTACATCAGAACTAACTACAAGGGAGCGGCCGCTCCGTTTTGGGACATTGCACTCTGTAGCACCGTGCACGGGTCATTCACCGCCGTTCCTACGCCCTACCACCGTGTGTAGCGACGGCTAACCGACCTGTGGATCTAACATTTACATTTATTTATACATGCAACAGCATTCCGTACGATTGGTGGTTTCTCTCATGAACGAACGTCGAACATGTTACTATGGCAATGAGTCAGATACAAATAGCTGTGTTTGAAAAGTGTCAGCAGTGAAAGCGTAGTGTATACCGACTGTAAGCTTGAAACCGGCCTATGGGCCCTTCATGTTGCAATACATCTCGGATATGCCGATCTTCTCTTCACACATAATCGCTCCGTGGGTTAAACCGACCCCAACCTCACCTGTGCTAAAACTCGTGAGCGTGACCCGCACAAGGCGCCAGATCCTCAGACCCCCAGACCCCGTGTTCATACCTGTAGCTATAAGACGCGCGCATACCGTCAGACCCCATCCCCATACCTGTACCATCCCCATACCTGTAGCCAGACGCGCACATACGTCAGACCCCGTCCCCATACCTGGAGCCAGACGCGCACATACCGTCAGACCCCGTCCCCATACCTGTAGCTGTAAGACACGCGCATACCGTCAGATCCCGTCCCCATACCTGTAGCTGTAAGACGCGCACATACCGTCAGACCCCATCCCCATACCTGGAGCCAGACGCGCTGGGCCCTGCGGCCGACCCGCACCGTTTGAACGGTCATATCCGGGTCCAGCGGCGCCTCCGACATCAGACGCTTGCTGCCTGCGTGTGATCGGGGAGGAGCGGGGGTCTGCTGTGATGTGACTTATCAACGGACAGTTCATTTACCTACTGGCAGTGGGCACAGAATCAACATGAAAATTTGTCTTATTCATATAACTGATTCTAGGTCATTTTCTTGGCATCCATATGATCATATTCTAAATACTCATGCGATAGAATTCAATGCTAATGCACTGTGAACAATGCTATGTCAAATCCGTGCCACACGGACACACATTTTCAATTTCATAAATGACAGCACATTAGCTGTGCAACGCAACTAATACGAGCATTGAGCATTGAGCAGACTCCAAACTGCCTGTCGATGGCGCGGACCACGCACCTGAGCCCAGGTGCCACGTCACGGTGACGTAGCCACGACTGAGGGTGACGGCGAAAAAGTCGCCGCCGGCGTCCCTCCACGGCCGCTCGGGCTCCGTCCCGACCTCCAGCGCGGTCATAATTGTGTTTGACGGTGGTGGCATCGCAGCGGCGACCTCGGCGTCCGAGACTGCGCTCGAAAACTCGTCCAGCATGACCGTCAGGTTTTGACGCTCCTGAGAGGTGTGAAGAGAAGCGCATTGGTCCTCATGGTCGTCATGAGCGTGACGAAATCATTACATTGTTTCCAATGCCATACACAATGGGATCGGTGAAAATGAGTAGGTATTTGTCTATTGCTACTCAACATGGTCACTGCAACTTTTTCATTTCAACGTTTGGAATATGGAACAAGTGACAAAGAATTAAGCTATTTGGACTTCATTCACATCTTTGATGTGTAAATTGTTATGTCATGTGTATTCTACCTGCTGCGGCCCAACGGAAAACGGCTTCGTCACCGACCGGACCCAGGGACGGTAGCAGGCGCTGCAGTGCCCGGCCAAGGGTTAACTCTACCTGCGCGCCATCTACCGTTGCGCTAGTGCTGCCACCTACCAGGGCTGTCTCTGGCCGCTCTGACTCTGTGTCCATAAGAAGGGCGAGCAGTGAAGTCTGTTCCGTCTGGTTTGTGGCCAGATGGAAGAACATCCAGAACTGGTGACGTAGACTGCCGGTGACGTCAAGAGCCAGGTGGGAGGAGAGACCGCCGGTGGAGCCGTGAAACTGGTAACGGGCTCCGGGGTATGTCGTCTCTGTGGGCCGGGGGTAGAGGATAGGTGGCGTTTGTGTCGATCTGGTGTTTATTTTGCGAATGTCGATGTTAGAAGACCAACTTACTACTGAACAATGGTAGAAGGAAACGTTCTCTCATAGCCAGGCGATGCATATCAATTTAATCTCTCAATTGAAGATGGGACACGGTAAATTATCTTGGGAACGTCATGTAGCGATATGATGAGGTCCAAGTCAGCTAAAGGCTCATAAATCTTTTTAGACCGGGCCAAGGAGAGAAAATTGTCCACCCATCCCTCTCACCTGACAGCAGGGCCCGGTCCTTCCGAGCGGGCACAGGCAGACGGGGGGGGGGGGGGGAGAGGGATTCTCACCCGTCTGACAGCGGGGCCCGGTCCTTCCGAGCGGACACAGGCAGACGGACTGTCCGGTGGAGAGGAGGGCGCACTGTGCGCCGGGACCGCACTGCGCCGGGTCGCAGGGGGCGAACTCGCACCGTGCGCCGCTGAAACTGAACACCCGCACGGGTACACTGTACAGTCAGCCGAGGGTGGTCTGGGAAAGGTAACGGAATCGGCTGGTCGCTTACTTTACTATCGTAATCAAAAGGAGCTCAATCAATAACAGAATGGGTTTATCTGCTGATCAACGGCAAACCAGCTACACCCCTTGTCAACGTTAGATGTAGGTCAAAGTAGGCATGTTGAGCCGAGGGTCAGGGTTTTGCGTGGCAAAACACAATTCAGCTTTCAACTCGAGCTTGTGGATCAAATTCAGAATCGGGGTAGGGCATATTCTTGAAGATGGATCTTGGCTAAGACTATGGTCAATCTTTTGAATCAAATCAAGGCACGATCTCGTTTCCGTGTGACGCTCTGTCGATTGCCGCTACTGGACGCTCACCCGGGCTGGCACTGGCAGCGGACCTCCATCCAGGTGACCTGGTGACAGGTGCTGTTGTGCTGGCAGCCGGCCTCGTCACACGGAGAGCGCGACTCGCCCACACTGTCGGCCACGATCAGCGACAGCTCGTCGAACCGCTGGCCGTTCACCTGCGAGGGCAGGGAGGGAACATGGGAGGGAGACAGTGTTAAATGAAGTTCATTTATCTTTTTTGTCCAATAATTGCGTATTATGGAGCAGGCTAAAACGGCAGTTCTCCAAAGCTCGTTTTCATTTTACAATATAAGACGTGCACTGTGAAAAGGTGCTACGTCAACTCAATGTGATAATTTTCACGACGCGGATGTTCAGAACTCCATGAAGCACAGACCTGCAGCTGGAGCAGAAATCCACCGAAGCCGCGCTCTCGGGGCGGGCTGCCGACCACTAGCGCCACCCTGCGGTCCAGCGGCCGATCGGCGAACTGCTGAGCTACGGTCACAGGTGAGCCCTCGAGGCGCATGGCCGCGCGACAGGTGGCCGCCGCCCCGGCCGACCGGCCCGGTATCCAGCGCAGCCTGAGGGTGGAGAGGATAATATATAGTCCATTTGCAGCATTTTGGTTATCGCCGAAAAACTCCTGAAAAAAATGAGTCATTTAGCCGTGACAAAAGCCGGCGCAAGCTGGCAATAAAATGTGGCTTTTCACCAAACAATGATGAACTAACGTTATGTTATATTTTTCGTGGTTCTCACATCATGATAAGATATGTGGGAGGTTGATGCTGACGTGACTGTTGCCTCCCAATGATCACTAAATATGATTTTCCTTCCTCAAATTTAACCGAATTATTTAGCTCATGAGGAGTGAGGGTAACATTGAACCTAACTCCGGCCCTTTTCACTCACATGAAGTGCACGGTGACCTGTCGTCCCGTGTTGACCTTGGCCTGAGTCTCGATGAACGATGTGGCCTGTCGGCCGGAGCAGGCGAACGCGAGCCTTAGGAGGCCACCGGAGAGGAAGAGCCGATACCAGGGCGGCACGCCAGTGGGCAGCGAGCTGAGCACGACACCGTTCTCCGACAGCGTGGCGAAACTGGAGAACAAGAGAAAGAGACGGGGCGGGGATGTAAGTGTGTGAGCGGGCTGAGCCTCGGAGAGGTAACTCGACCGAGTTTAGTAGTTTAGCTGTCTCCTGCAGATAGATATGGGAATGCGAACGTCGGGTGCAAAATTACATCAGTACCCGAATATGGGCTGTATTAACTGCAGTCTGCAGGTGCAAAGATACTGTAAGAGGTATCAAAGTACGTTGTCTGCGCCGTCAACCCTTCATGTCAAAGCTAAATACCAAAGGTTAAAGGGACTATCCCACCTTCTAAAATGTTGTCAAAACCAGTTAAATTGTGCCCGACTTTATAGATTGGATGACCAGGAACACGGTTCTGGCATTTATTTTTCATTAAACATCTTAGGCTTCCCATATTCCAAACACAAACTTTCAAATATGTGACGTTACAGCCCAAAATTACCTCCTTCCCCAGGCCACATTACTGTCATAAAGCTGATTCTTTTTACTCTGTAGGCACCACAACAAAGTTCAGACCAAGTTTTAAGCGATTTTTCAACGAACAAACCCATTTAAATCAGAATGACTAAACGAGGTGACGTCACACTAACGGTCGCTCCATGTTGAAGATAGGGCCTTGTACAAGGCCCATTTTCAAATGAAGGGAACGAATTTCTTCAACACCAAGAGGCCGCGGGGGTTGCAACCTAGATAGATAGTGGTTTCTGAACCTCGCCGCAAACTTGGCTATCTCAACTCAAACCCCATGTTAAAGGTGGGATAGTCCCTTTAAATTCATGCATTGCCTTTATAATGACTACTCGAATGTTTCATTATCCTCTTGTATGGCGCGTTTGACTACGCCCGGCCTGAGAGAATAGGATACGTGACGACCTGGCATGAACATTGAAAGCACACAAGTTCTTCCACTAACCTGATGTTAAGCCTGACCCTCTTTGCGTCTTCTGTGAACGAGTTTGCCGCACTGCCGCTCTCATCTCTTTGTTTGTCCATCTCCGGCTGTACGTCCTCAGACTTCCTCTCCTCCTCTTGATGATGGTCCGCCACCGGCGCCACCGCCGACTCGGTGTCCTCGAGGAACTGCCTCTCGTCACTGAGCACCTCCTCCAGGAGGTCCGTGTCTGAATCCTCGGGATCCTCAGGGGGCTCGTCGGCACCGTTACTCTCCAGCAGGAGGTAGGTGTCGGGGAAGAAGCGGATCGGCAGCAGGTCCGACGTGGCGCCTTCAGCTGAAGGTAGCCCTGCCTCAGTTGCTGGAGCGCGTGTAGATGGAGATGGCCCTTCAGTCACTGTGGCTGTTGGAATCGTCTTTTCCGTTGTCGTGACTGTTGGAAACGGTGCCGAGGTAGTTGCATTTTTAGGTAGCAGTGACGTTTGATGAGTGGTGTTCTGTTTTTCTTCGGCTGACGGAGTTGATGTCATCGTTAGGATTGGTTCAGTGTTTGGCTCAGTTGTGATGTCCGTTGTTTCCGTTGAAGATAATGTCTCTGGAACACCGGTATCAGGCAGTGTGGAAGGCTCGCTAGCCACATCTGTTGTAACATCATACGCAGCAGTTAATGACGTTTTATCGTCATCGGGCAACGTCGATGTTTCCTTGGTGGTGGACTCGGATAAAGTGTGTGATTCCTCCGTCGCGGGATCGAACTGTGTGGACGCTTCTGTGGAAGCTACCTCGGCTTCCGTGGACGTATATTCTGTGCTTGAATAAGGTGTCGTAAACACTTCCTTTGTTGTGGAGATCGTGAATCCCGATTCCGCGGTGGCGGATTCAGCTTTGACAGTCACACTTTCTTGCTCGGCAGTGGAAGTAGACGATGCTGATGCTGTCGTGCTTTCTGCGGCAGATATGTCTGTCGCGTTTGTCACGTTTAGGAGTTCCGTTGTGGTATACGCTGCCGTAGAAGGCAGATCCGTCCTTCCTTCTGGTGTGACAACAGAACTCTCTGCAGATTCCGTTGATGTCGACGAACTTGTTCCCTCGACTTCAAGCGATGTTTCTTCGGTGACCGACTCAGCTGAAAGCGTTGAAGTGCCAGCGATGGACTCTGGTGTTGCCTCGGTTTCCACAACAGGGAAATAAGAAGTTGTGGTCTGTTCCCTTGCGTTAAAACCAGTTGTGGATACGATAGCTGTGCTGACATCGGATGATGTGGAAGTTCCTCCCGGCGTGGCAGTTCCTAAACTTGTCAATGCCTCCTCGGTGGTTGTCTGATCGACCTCAGTTGTACTTCTTTCACGTTCTTCTGATGGCTCTTGTGAAAATGTATGCAAAGTTGCGAAGGCCTCTGTGGAAATAGCTACATCAGACGTAGATGTTTCTTCAGTTTGCGTTGACATCGTTACTGGCCAAGTGGCTGAAGAGTCCGTAGTGTAAGGCGACGTATCCTGGGCTGATGTACTTGTAGACTGCGATTGCGTCTCTTCAGTGGTCGAGATGTATGAGGTTTGAGTTGATAAATCATAATATCTGGTAAAGTTCTCGCTTTGGGTAGAGATCCATTCTGTATATGAAGGAGTGGATTCAGTTTGCGTGCCAGTCTCATCGGCCTGTGTGGATATCTCATCAGTTTGCGTAAAAGCGTCATCGACCCGGGCCGACGTTTCCTCAGTGGATCCCATACCATCACCATCAGAAGTGGTTTTTCCGTCTGTAGAATAAGTATCCGTGGAGCTCCTTACTTGGTCTTCAGGCGGAATAACCAGGCTCGTAGTGACCAGCTGGGAGGACGCCACCGGTACTGGTGTGGGGGTGACGGGAGTGACCTCCGATGATCGCACCGGAGTGGACATGGTCCCCGGTGAGCCAGGGGAGCTGGAGACGGTCGGAGGCAGTGTACTGACAATGGAAGGCGATGCCGACTCCGGCAGTGGCAGTGTAGGCGAAGTGAGCTCTGGTTTTGGCACTGTCTGCAGAGGCGTGCCTTCAACGGGCGACGTCTGCGGGGCTTCCCCCGGCTGGCGCGGCGAGCTGAAGGCATCCCAGTCGACCTCTGAAGGCTGGGAAATCGTCACGACAGCAGTCGCTCCATCGCCTTCCCACGCAGAGAACGCAGGTGGAGGCGTCGACATCGCCTCCGCTCCCGGCTGCGTCGTCTCAAACGATGGCGAAATCCACGGTTCTGTCGTCGCCGTCACACCTTCGGAAAATATCTCCGTGGCGTCGGGTGGCCCGTCGTACGCGACGCTGGCGGTGGCCTCGACGTACTCTGTGGCGACGACGGAGGTGTGGAAGACAGTGCTGTAGCCGACGGTGACCACCAGGTGCGGGAGGAGGCCGGCCACGCGCGGCTCGCTGTGCTCCGGCGCCACGCAGAAGGTGATGTTCTCGGAGGAGAGGCACTGGCAGTAGCGGCCGGACGCTGCCGGCGGACACTGACACTGGAACGAGTCGACTGCGTCCACACAGGTGCCTCCGTGCAGACACCTGGCAAAGACGGACAGAGGGCGGGTCACGGACGGACAGAGGCTGGAGTCACAGGGCGGCAGCGCGGGGAGAGTTTGGGCTCAAAGAGGCGGTGATATATTCAGGGATAACCGCTGAGGATAACGGGATCTCTAATGCATGATATATGTAAATGCCTTTTGCACCGTCCTTTCACAATGTTTCTAATAAGTGTTTGTCACTAACATTATTTTATTTGGTAGCTTTCATATCTCTTAAACGTTTAAACAGTCAAATGGCTCATGATATAATGTTCATTTGCGATGAGAATGTCTTAAATATGCCTAAGATTATGACACATCCTCCCGCTGATAACCGAAGAACAAAAATCTTTCTTCAATAATCGGAGTGGCTGCTCCCACCTGGGCTCGGGTAGGCAGTCGTTGTACCGTCTCTGGCAGCGCTCTCCATGGAAGTCGGGGCGACACAGGCAGGCCTCGCCGGCCTCTGTCAGCACGCAGAGGCCGTCGTTCTCACACACATTGACTTCGCAGTTCTGCAGCGCCGTCTGGCACAGTTGGCCGGAGAACCCTGGCGGTCACAGGTCAGCAGAGTTAGCAAAACACAGTGTCCGGTGGCTCTCTTTGGAGTCGCATTGGTGTGATGAGGGAGATTAAATGAATGCCATGCCACACACCGTATTTCCTCCTAAGCTTTTAACGTTTCCCGATAGGTGTATTTGTAGTGGCTACAGCAGACTTGTAAACAAGCGAGTTCTTTCACAAATTCTTTTACAAATTCAATATGTGACTGTCTCGTCGATGACCCTTTATGCATCAATGGCAGCGATAATTTGTGTTTTTTTTTTACAATCGAATGCTCTAGAAAAAGATTCCCCGTAAAGTGGCAATGCATTTATTTGTACATCTTTCGCGAAAATGCCCCCTTTGCGCTGTTTTCAAGCTGTTGATTTTACTGCCCATTATATGATCCCGAATGGTGGACGGTTCTGCGTATTTATCTGAGAAATACCTTGGGATAAAACAAACCATAACGCGACTATGAATCATGAGTGCATTGTAAATCAATGCTGACTAAGTAATTCATTGAACCTCCTCAGATATGCGACGAAAGCGCAATCGGCAACAGCCGGTAGCCCGGCCCGCCGCTACCTTCCGTCTGAGTCATATTTGTATCATAACATAGTTCAATGGCGTGCGTGTCGGCATGACTCACACATGCTCGTCATAGTGCTAGTGCACTTCAGAAATGCGTAGAGTGGCCAATTGATATAGGTATTAAGTATATATGCATGTAGTTGCATCAGATGCCCTTGCCATTCTTATGGAGATATTTTGGCACGGCGATACGAATCTCAATAGTTTAGGGGATGTTTTGCCGGATTATTCACGTCACACTCAACATGCCAACAGGATTACAAACTCCAACCGTTCACTAGTGTCGCCAGAGAGTCACGTGGTGGTGGCACCATCGACATTACACTGGCATGGCAATGACGTGTCAAAGTTTATCTCTTGATAAAATAACGATATGTGAAACGTCCTTGAAACATATGTATGGCACCACCGGACATTAAGCAAATGTGCTGCTCATTTGGTTAGGTGTTAGACGACCCATGTAATTGGCATTGGAAAACAATAATTCGTTTGTTACCCTGCTATACCGCAAAGTAGTATACTTCCAATCATATGCTAGTAGGTACCGGATAAGTGCATAAGTAATGCTTATTTATTGTCCTCTTAGCAATAGTGCTAAAACAAGATACCTACATATGCGAACCCATGAGCTGTGCATGCCGGTATTTTTAACAATTGTTTACTTTATAATGCCTTTTAGTGTTTAAGAATTGCTTTGAAAGTTTCCTTATATCTGTATTCTGTACTTGGAAATGCATTTAATTTAATCATTTCCTGATGTGCCTAGTGTTTAGTCTCGTTAACTGTAAAGGCGACCAGCGCCCATCACACGGTTTTCTCTCACCGGCCTGGCAGACGCACTGGAAGGCGTTGATGTGATCAATGCAGGTGCCTCCGTTCTGGCACGGAGAGGAGGCGCATTCGTCAACGTCGATCAGACACGTGGCGCCGGTGTACCCTGCCGGATAAAACACAAATAATGGCAAGAACATGACATTAAAGACAAATACATAATCATCATACTGAACCAAATCCACATTGCGCTTTTTTTTCGAAAATATCGCGTCTTGAAAGTAATCCACCCTTTGTTTCAACACATGCTGCTACGTTTAACCCTTGCCCGTATAGGGGGGGGGGGGAAGGGGGTCCAACAGACCCTATTGGTTTTTCGCGAATAATTCGCGTAAAAAGCGGCCGATCGCGACGAAACTCTCAGTACCTTCGAGTTGATCAATTTCACACCTACCCTGAAAATTTCATGACCCGCACCCAAATGACCTTTGACCTGTGACCTACTTTTCGAGACCATGTTTGGCCGGAATCGTGATTCGGCGTACCTATATCGGTTCGCATTAGCCGCGCGTTTGCAGTCTTTTTGTGGTTTCAAGCTTTCAAACATGTGATATGATGTTGCCCTCATGCATTAGGGTGGGTGTCAAGATCACCTTAAGGTCAGGTCAGGTCATCGACCTTTGATGACTTCGGTTCACTTTTTGAGTTTTGCATGTTTCTGGGCCAGTTTTTGGAGCTGAATTGGAATTTAGCAACCATATGAGCACTTACGAAGTAGTTTTGGTGCCTTCGTAACATGTTACGAAGCTGTCAGAGGCGGTTGACACGTACTACGAATACCCGTCACGACCCCTACCGGTTGACCTGACCTGACCTGACCGGACCTGGTCTAAATGCTTAAAGACATCATCTCTCATCAAAACTAACATGATATTCGTGATCAGCACCCCGAAAACCCTATATCAGCGACATGTTACGACGTTCTAACAGGTCCCGATTTTCCCCACTTTTGGGTCATTGACCTGACCTGGAAGGTCAACCAATGACCTAGGACCTTAAAACTGGGTATCATCGGCTTCCTCTCGTCACGGGCAACACGTTCGTTCTTTCTGCGAAGCTCTAGCTCAATCAGGGGCAAAACGGCAAGAGGGGGTGTTCCAACGCCCCCCCCCCCCATACGTTTGCGGCTGAAAAAACACCAATACGGGCGAGGGTTAAATGACTCTTTGTTTATAATCTTTTATTATTTTTCAATATTCATAATTCCTTCAATGTTGTGACCTATATTATTAACGTGCCTTTCTCGTAAACGATTTCTCCGGATGTCCTTGATCAGGCTATTTTTGGTCACTGGACACTGGACAGGAACAAAGGTTTGCATGTATCTGTAAACTTACTTCCGGACGCACCATGACTCAGCCTAGAGGCCACATGTGGAAGATGAAACGCAATAGGAAATAACGTCAATAAATGCTGATAATTTATGGGAGATGCAACGCAGTACTTTCTCTTAGCTGCAACGTCCATGCCGCTCCTACCTTTCCCCGAGATATAGGTTTGGTTGGAAAATGATCGACAAAACACTCATCAGCACTCAGCAGCAGCAGCACTCGGCACTCATCAGAAGTCGACACAGACAAGGGGCTGTTGTCGATTGTCGTCGACCATCGTGGAAGAAGCTCCTAAATTTGGTTGTTCCGCCCGCTGAGATCCTTTTTACTTCTATATCGTGTCGCGCGGCGGCAGTCCCCGACCCATCAGTAGCGCTGGTGTCAAGGGCCGGGCTAGTTGCCCCCTGTAGGCCCATTGCGAGGTCAAGGGCTAGTTGCCCCATGTAGGTCAGGGGTAGTTGTCCTGCTGTGGTCTGTTTCCCTCCTGCGCACTATGGTTGGAAACGGCCTCACGGATGGCCGGGGGTCAACGCGAAAAAATGTTTTGCCCATAACTTGTTAATGCGTAGACCGACTGCGATGAAACTTTGCATAGGTATACCAGTGTCTTTCGTGCATCATACAGTAACTCAGAAATGACGAGGTCACGTCACGTCACGCGTGTGTGACGTCATCATTGCAAGTATGTTATAAGTCGCCTATGTCTTTCGTTATGTTATCGATATCGCGAGGCATTTTGAACATGTTTTGAATACTGCTATTACTGAATGGATATTGTTGTTATGCTTTAGGGCGAGAAATATCAACGTAGTGACGCACAGTGTCTTACTATTGGTCATAAAGGGTAAAAAATTTGGAGAAAGAGTATTTATGATTTTTTTTAGATTGGGCAAAAAAGCAAGAAATAAAATAACGATCAAATGACAAAACATGCGTCAGATTAATCCGGCAGTTGCTGGGGTATTTCCCCATCCGCCGTTTGCCGGGGGGGGGGGGCGTTCAACGCCCCCAGCCGATAACTCGCGAACAAATAGGCGCAGCGAAACGCACGAGGCGCGGCAAACGAAAGAAGAACGCGACGAGACGATTCACATGAGTACTTTAAAGTTGAATTTCGAGGTCACAGGTCGGGTCAAGGTCAGGTCAAACACTTGAAATCGGGCTTTCAGTAGCATGGACTTTAGAACCTCGCAATCGGTGCCTCGCGTTTCGCGTTTCGATTATATCGTCATCAGTTGGTCCTAAATAAATTCAGTCATCAGTTGGTCCTAAACAATCTGTCACAACTGTCACAACTGTCACAACCCTTCATATAAGTGCTAAAAGAGTGTCAGATCAATGTAGGGGTCAGTCAAACATAGGCCACTGGCCAGTTTCAAAGTCAGGTCAATCAGGTAAGCATATAACCCCGAAAATTAAAACTGGTACCTATTCGCAGCCCATGCATGACACATGTTTTATGGGTACTTTTGGGCGTAGAACACGATGGTGACATTCATTTTATCATACGAGTACGTGGCTGGTTGAAAAAAGATCAATTTCAGAAATGCATGCATCATGGTCGTGAAGTATAGTCACGAGAAATTGCCAACATTCAGCTCAAGATTTTGGAAAATGTAGAACGATGATCAAAAACCATAGATAGCCATTTGATTTGCCATGGTATTGGCAGTGTAATGGCGTTTACAGCATGTCTGTATGTCTGCTCTGTCGGTGGATATTCATATCCATACTCCAGGATATCCATATACGTTTGCACGATATCCATACTCCAGGTGCAGGGGCGAGCAGTTACTTCTTACGAGGGGTGCGGAGTCGAAGTCAGAGTCGGAGTCAGAGTCGGAGTCGGAGTCGGAGTCGCCCAGAGTCGTGGCAACGAGCCAGGAGTCGGAGTCGGAGTCGGTGTCGGTCAGGAGCCCGCAGTGGAAGTCTGAGTCGGTCCGAATCGGAACAGCTCCCTCACGACTCCGAAACACTGGCAGGGGTCCGGAGTCGGAGACAGAGTCGGCCGGAGTCATGGCAACGAGTCAGGAGTCGGAGTCGTAGTCGGAGTCGTATTTGGCGCCACCACGACTCCGCAACCCTGCTTCTTACCATCATTTATAAGGATAAACGATTGCAAGACTGACGAGCCGACCTGGTGCTAACGAAGAGACGGGTAGGTACGCCTCGGGAGATGAAGCTTCACGGACGATTTTGCGCACAAGTGCGCAGTCTGCTTTTACGTTCCCCTTACACAGAATTGAACAGAGATTTATTCTGCCAAAAAGCTCAATGGAGGTCGATGGAGAACTTTTTGTATGTCCAATGAAACATAACCGTAATTTTGCAAATATTGCTGTGGTGACACTGCAAACAGAATGCAATGCCGTTCCTGATTTTGAACACGCATGGGAAAAAGAGTCACTCCACTCGATAGCCAACATAACAAGGATTATTTTGATATATAATAATCCAGTTTTACAACGTCATGGAGGTACTCCACATGCTATCACCAGCGCGGTTGTTTAAACCTTTGACGGCGCACCAAAAAAGCCACTATCAGAAACTCCCGATTCCACGTACAATAATGGAGACTAAATGCGCAACTAAATAATTTTTTCTGCCCAATTCAAAACATTTCATCAATTTCCAACAGAATGACACCCCAAATATACATATATTCCGAAATTGCCCACGGCCATCCGTGAGGCCGTTTCCAACCATAGTGCTGCGGTGAGGTCACTGGCCATCAATCTCGCTGTGCCCGTCCCTCCCCGTCCCCGTCCCCCTCCATCCCCTATACGGACCTGGCCGGCACTGGCAGTGGTAAGTGTTGGCCGGTCCGTCCACACACCGCCCACCGTTGTGACACCGGGTGTACGGCGGCTGCACGTGGACGCACACGCTCATGTCCTCTTCACAGCGAACGCCTGAAACCAAAGAACGGTCCAGTGTCAACAGGAAGAAGGCTCTGATGAGTGATGTCATGGTTGACGCTATACCTAATTGATATCTGGAATCTGCAGTCGGCTATGATTGAGGCATTTACAACAATGTCAGTAATGCATACAAATATCCGTGTCAAGTGTTGAATTGTCAACACAGACACGATAGTAGGTGATCTAATCGTGGGTATGCACTGAATGTGGCGTGATGTCTCGACTAGCCACCTGACTGCGCTAGCTTTGAAAATTGACGTCAATGCAACTGTTTTGTAAGTGGTACAAGGACACAGGAAACCACCGGAAGGGCCATTGATATTTTTGAATAGAAGCATGCGGTAGGTATGTTTCATATCTGAAACTGGTAGCTGTGGATTGACGCTCTCAAACACTTGAGAACTTTAGAACACTTGAGCAGCGTACTTTCATGAGCTGTCTCCGGGAGCCCGGCATGCCTGTGCCGTATATTATCTCGGTATGATCACTATGAAGGAGTGTTGTATGACGGGTGTTGTATCCGGGAGGCCAGCCAGGGCGCAATTCTCACCTCTGAATCCGGGGGGACAGAGGCAGGCGACCAGCCCGTGGTGCGTGAACACACACGAGGCGCCGTTCAGACATCCTGCCTCCTGACAGCCGCGCACCTGACTCTGACAGCTGTCACCTGCGGGACCGACAGACAGGACAGTCAGACACTTAGAGGGGGACTGTCAGACGGGGCAGTCAGACACTGGAGGGACCGTCATACACCCGTGCGAGCTAGAGGCATGACTCATTAGTGATCCGTCATTGGTTTACATTTATCTTAACTTGCGCCTTGATGGGGGACCATTTTGCCCCCCCCCCGTGATTTTCCTGAATAGTGGAAAAACGGCGGCGCGCAGCGCCGCCAAACTTTGAGTAGCGCTTGATACCTTAATTTGACACCTTAACACCAAATTTCATGTCATAGGTCACCTTGGGTCAGAAGTTATTGAGCTCAAACTGAGGTCATGTTCGAGCAAAAATGAGTAAAAAAACATGAAATCTTAACCCGCGCCCTGATGGGGGGGGGGCATTTTGGCCCCCCCCCTGTGGTTTTTCTTAAATAGCGAGAAAACGGCGGCGCGCAGCGCCGCCAAATTTTAGGTACCTTACCGGGCATCAATTTGACACCTTCACACAAAATTTCAAGTCACAGGTCACCTCAGGTCAGGAGTTATTGAGGTCAAACTGAGGTCATGTTCGAGCAAAAATGAGCAAAAAACATGACATCTTGAAACGCTCACCAATTCTACAGTTAACAAGCAATTTTAAAGTTCTTTATGTGGTTGTGTAGAGAAAAGACGGCGCTACAAAACTGCTATCTCGGATTTTCGAAATTTTGGGATTTTGACCCCCCAAAATCAAAAAAATTGATTTTTTTTAGAAAAACTCAAAAAATTTCCAAAAAAATTTCGAATTTCGAAAAAACCGGAATATATGTGATAGTCCCTGCGCTCTTCGATATACATACCAAATTTTAGATCGATACCTCTTTTTTTGGCCAAGTTATACGGAAAAAACTGTTAAAAATTGATGACGTCAAATTTTTGAACTCAATTTTTAGCAATTCTAGACCTCGTAGCGCAAAACAAAGACCACCATTGAACTCCCCGTGACGAGCTGCATCGAATCGATACCCATTTTATGCAAAAATATCAACTTTGAAATTTGACCTAATTTGACCTGACCTTGACCTGACCTTGACCTGACCTTGACCAAAACGTGACCTAAGCTGGCCCTAAAGTCTGTCTGACCCACATAATCGCCTTTGTCATGTAAAATGGACCATAAAACATGTATCACACGACACTTTCATATTGTGACCCCCCAGTGACCTGACCTCTGTGACCTGACCTGGTATCAGTGACCTCAAATAGCAAAATATGTGTTTGAAGAACATTTCTCCATCGATGATTTTCAATGAAATGCATTTTACTCGATTTTACAACGCATTTCTTGAAATGCCTGTAAACGGTGAAAATTCGACCTTTGACCTGACCTGTGACGTCATCGGTTTGACCGAGGTCAATGAAATTGGGTCACAAGGTAGTTCCCCGCTGGGGCTATCCAACACCGTTTACCGCTTGTCGCTATGTTGCGTGGTTCTCGAGATCTGAGGGGGGGCCAAAATGGCCCCCCCCATCAGACCGCGTTGCTCGGCAGACCCCATCTGGGCGCGGGTTAAAACGCTCACAAAACCTATAGTTAACGAGCAATTTCAAAGTTCTTTCTGTGGGGGCGTTCCACGACGAATCGACAAGATCCCTGCACCCTTATATTTTATTTTTTTGCTTAAAATTGGTCTAATGGGTTGTGATGGGCGGGGAAGTCAGCTGTGGCAAGAATTTTTTTTTTCTTCGAACAACGGTTTCCGAGATACCCAGCCAGCAATCCCACTCCGTTCCCGATCGGGATTTTCGGACTCAGCCCGCACCACCCCGATCGGGACCGGAGTGGGACAGGATTGGGAAATGAGACACTTTGTACGGGCTGGAACGGTCCGGATATCCCAACCTACCCCGCACGGTCGGTTGGGAGATCCCGCACGTATCCGGACCGCCTTATGACGTTTTAACAAGCGCTTAACTCCGATCCCGATCGGGATTCCCCAAATCTCCCCGCACAACCGGTTCGGAAATCCCGCACGCATCCGAACCGCCTTATGGCATTTTAACAAGCGATGAACTCCGATACCGATCGGGATGTCCCAACTCGGCCCGCACGGCCGGTTCGGGAATACCGCAGGTATCTGACATATTAACCGCAGTCTTATAACCGCAGATTGCTGTTATGCAGATGCGACCACTTTGCTTGCGCCACCGCAACCCCCTCGCCTCTTCATTATTCTCCAATTCAACCTTTATAATGTCTGCACGACAAAATGAATTACATTGGACACTGAAATATATTCACAAATTTACTGGTTGCACACAGATCAAATTTTTACAAATTCACAGCCTGGCCAGCACATTCATGGCGTCGGCCAGCATCTTAGCGCCACTGCAAGGCGCTGGCACAGCGGACTCACTTCCGGTGTTCACAGTCATTATAGCAGGCCTGCGCCTTGTTCGTGTCGGCTCCTCTGCGGACAGTGTGTCCGTGTGCCGTCACGGGCTTCAGAGAGCCACCGCGAAACTATGTAGACGGCTGGCATCTGGTCGGGCGGTTCACCACTGTGCGAAGAGAGCATCTGAAAATGACCAGGAGGTAATTAATCAAAGTCTGGGACACACTAAAAATCACTAAGAAATAACCCACATCTGACATTTCACGTGGAATGCCAGGTAATTCAGGTTTCAAACCTACAATGCAACTAACGACACTTGACAATGAGACCAAACATCTTCTGTCCATGATAACTGATCAAACATGCGACAGCACGAGTGTAATTCACATGCCGTACAACCACAACGAACATAAAAATTTATATTACCTATAGCTTTCCCGCTCCCTACATCACGGATGAAGTGTGCACTATACTCACCCTGTTCTCAAAGACGGACTGATTTCCCTGCAACGACAACAGTTGAACCGACCGCTTGCTAGAGCCAGTTCAAAAGCAATATCCTAAGGCAGCAGCTCAAAGGAGGGATCGACACTTGACCAACGCGGCAGCTAGACTGGCCGCTGCGCTCAGAGGACGCGTCTGCCTGCACGCGGCCCATCTGATTGCTTTTCCAGGCTTTCTGGGCCACCGGATATGGTGCCCGAAGCGCCTTCTCAGATCGGTTGGTATAACAACGTAAATCACAAGCCTGTCTAAACATGGGATTCGATTGGGCTATCCGTACCGCGTCCCAACCGATTAAGCATGCGGTCCGGAAATCCCGAGTCGCCCCTACCGCCGGCCATCGAGGTCCGGTATCGATTGGGACAACCCAAGCCTACCCAACCCGGTAGGGACAAGTCGGGACATCCGGAGCCTATCCCGACCGTCCCCAACCGCATCCCGGACGAATTGCTGGCTGGGTATAGCCTCGGGCAATTCCTGGAGGTCGCGCTGCAGTCCTATGTTTGGCGGCCTATAACTCGGAAACTTTTGGTTTTCTACGATAAAAACTTTACATGCTTCAACTCAAAATCAACCAACAAACATTTTGGCCATCTCGGATTCTCAATTTTTGAAAATTTTGATCACGTGACCTTTTGACCTATTTTTCGAAGAGTGAATTTTTTATTTTCCCCACTGAAAGTTGCAATTTTGTCTGATGACGATTAAAGCCTTATCAATTGTCATTCATATGCGATAATAAAAAAGTGGCTATCGCCCTGCGTTGACCTCAGGTCAGGTTATTTGATGACCTGGCCATTATTACGAGCGGGAGCGACAGCGAGATCTCGAGAATAAAGCAAGATAGCGACAAGCGGTAAACGGTACAGGATTCACACTGATAAGGTCTACAATTTTTACTGAGGTCATTTTCAGGTCAGGTCAAAGATGACGTCACAGGGGTAAAAAGGAAGTCAAAATAGTTTTGGCTGTACCTTTTGATCTAATAAAGAGACGTGGAACAGGCACCATTGTGTTTGCTTTGGCCTAGCGCCAGTTCGCTTTGAATTTCGATATCGATGACCTAAGGTCAGGTCAATTTCTTGACCATCCCATTAAAAGTCAATGGGGGAAAAATAAGCTCGCTTACTTTTAAACTAAAACACGTCGGAATCGCCTAATATACCACGAGTGACTTCATATAGGATCAACTTTGCCTACCTTGATACCTTTTTTGCTCTTGGGCAACTGTAAGGTCATGTGACGTAATTAAAGGTCACCAAAGTTTTTTTTTTTGCTAATAACTCCTTACAGGTTTGAGATACAGATGCGCGGATGGACTCATTGCGCTCAGCTCGTCAAGGCGCATCGAATGATATATATGATGACTTTAGGTCACGTGACCTAAGGTCAACTTTTGACCTTGACCTTTTGAGGTCAACATACATAGGTTACGATGCGGATCGACGAGAGGATCACGATGGTGCTATTAGTTTGTTCCTAGCTGGGATACCTTGAAAGTTATCCGAGAAAAACTTCATATATATGTAGTGCCGCTATTATGACTTCCTTTTTGCCCCTGTGACGTCATCTTTGACCTGACCTGAAAATGACCTGAGTAAAAATTGTAGACCTTATCCGTGTGTACCCTGTACCGTTTACCGCTTGTCGCTATCTTGCTTTGTTCTCGAGATCTCGCTGTCGCTCCCGCTCGTAATAATGGACAGGTCATAAAAATGACCTGACCTGAGGTCAACGCAGGGCGATAGCCACTGTTTTTATTATCGCATAGGAATGAAAATTGATAAGGCTTTAATCGTCATCAGACAAAATTTTAACTTTCAGTGGGAAAAATATCAAGGTCACTCTTTAACCCTCGCCCGCACAATGCACCCATATCATGTGAAAGAAGACCACGCATTCATTCCCTCCCACCACCGGCCGGCCGGCCGCCCGGTAGATGTCGTGGCGCGCGGTGCCGATAAGGCGCCTCCACCCGCGCGCGGCGGGGAATTCTCGCCCTTATTGACACCGGCCGGTCGCCGGGCGTGACATGGTCCTCTTCAAGCCGTTTGGGGAGCATGAAGCAGTTAATATTTTTCGGAAAAAAGGGCATCGTTGGACTCAGAAAAGAATACCTCACCACACGAGCCATGAGCCCGTATACTTTTCCAAAATTCGGTTTTTTTGAACAACCCTACCGCACATGGGGGGGGGGGGGGTTGCCACTCCCCCCCTCCCCCAGGTAGTCAGGTAGTCTTTCTGCTCTGTACTCAACATTTTTAGAGCTAGAAGGCTGATTTTTCGTATAGCTGCTCCTCTATCATTTCGTGATGTCCACTGTCCACTGGTTTTTGGTTTCGGAGATATGACCTTGTTTTTCAGGTCATGTCATGACCCAAATGGCCAATTGTCAACATCTTGCGTTGGCTTTGGGCCTTGTGAGCTTTGACACCTTGATTTCGGCCTTTTTTGCCAGTCTTACCTTTTTGCGGCCTTTTTTGCAGCGTGACCTCCAGGAATTGCCCGAGGCTATATCTCGGAAACCGTTGTTCGAAGAAAAAATTCTTGCCACAGCTTGCTTCTCCGCCCATCACAACCCCATACACCAGTTTTCAACGAAGAATAAAATATGTGGGTGCAAATTTAATTTTTTATTTGTCGATTTGTCGTGGAACGCCCTTGTGGTCGTGTGGAGAAAAGACGGCGCTACAAATGTGCCATCTCGGAATGTCAGAATATTGTGATTTTTATCCCTCAAAATCAAAACATTGATTTTTTAACATAATAGCAACAAATCCCAAAATGTTGTCGAATTTCGAAAAACGGAATATATAAGATAGTCCCTACCCTCTTCTATCTACACACCAAAGTTTAGACCGATACCTTCTTTTTTGGCGAAGTTATAGCGAAAAAAAAGTTCAAAATTGAGGACATCATATTTTTATCTAAATTTTTAGCAATTCTAGACTAGACTACGTAGCGCAAAACAAAGACCACCATTAGACTCCCCGTGACGGGCTGCATCGAATCGATACTCATTTTATGCAAAAATATCAAGTTTAAAATTTGACCTAGTTTGACCTGACCTTGACCTGACCTTCATCAGATCATAACCCTACCTAGCCCCAAAGATCGCCTGACCTACATAATCGCATTTGTCATGTAAAATGGACCATGAAACATGTATCACACGACACATTCATATTGTGACCCTCAGTGACCTGACCTCTGTGACCTGACCTGGTATCAGTGACCTCCAATAGCAAAGTATATGTTTGATGGACAATTCCATATAGATGATTTTCAATAATATGCCTTTTTACTCGATTTTACAACACATGTCTTGAAATGCCTGTAAGCGGTGAAAATTCGACCTTTGACATGACCTGTGACGTGTCATCAGTTTGACCGAGGTCAATGAAATTGGGTCACAAGGTAGTTCGCCGTTGGGGCTATCCAACACCGTTTGCTGCTTGTCGTTATGTTGCGTGGTTCTCGAGATCGTAAAGGAAATAGTTCACTTTCCTGAAATTAGTATTTTGTTATGGTTTTATAATTGTTTTGCTCAAAATGATCAGGAAATAAAATAAAACCTTTTTGTAAAAACAAATATTTTCTATATTTTAATATAGGAAGAACTATATTATATGTAAAATGATGTTTTGACGCGAACGCTTATTACGCGTTGACCAATCACATTGCGTAATTCAAACCTACGCATGCTGCATTGGCTGTAAGCAGCATGCTGATCGGCTGACGATGACGTGACTGCATTCCTTTTTAACCCTCGCATGTGTAGGGGGGGGTCGGATGGACCCCCCCCCCATGGTTTTTCGCGAATAACTCGCGTAAAAAGCGGCCGATCGCGACGAAACTTTCAGTACCCTCGCATTGATCAATTTTACACCTACCCTGAAAATTTCATGACCCTGACCCAAATGACCTTTGACCTGTGACCTCTTTTCCGAGACCATGTTTGGCCGGAATCGCGATTTCGCGTATGTCGGCTCGCACTAGCCGCGTGTTTGCAATCTTTTCGTGGTTTCAAACGTTCAAACATGTGATTCGATGTTACTCCCGTGTGTGTCAAGGTCACCTGAAGGTCAGGTCAGGTCATTGACCTTTGGTGACCTCGGGTGACCTCGGGTCACTTTTTCGAGTTTTACATGTTTCTAGGCTAGTTTTTGGAGCTGAATTCGAATTTAGCAACCATTTGAACATTTACGAAGTAGTTTTGGTGACTTCGTAACATGTTACCAAGCTGTCAGAGGCGGTTGACACGTATTACGAATACCCGTCACGACGCCTACTGGATGACCTGACCTGACCTGACCCGACCTGGTCTAAATGCTTCAAGACATCATCTGTGATCAAAACTAACACGATATTCGTGATCAGCACCCCGAAAAACCCCTTAGCAACCACACTTTACGACTTTCTAACAGGTCCCGATTTTCCCGACTTTGGGTCATTGACCTGACCTGGAAGGTCAACCAATGACCTAGGACCTTAAAATTGGGTATCATCGGCTTCCTCTCGTCACGGGCAACACGCTCGTTTTTTCCGCGAAGCTCTAGCTCGATCAGGGGCCAAACGGCAAGGGGGGGGGTCCAACCGACCCCCCCCCCCTACACATTAGAAGCTGGCAAACGCCGCACACATGCGAGGGTTAAGACATCACATTCCCGCGTAAGACACTCTTTTTGGAACGGGAAATTGAATATCTTTGCTTAGGGTGATCGTTGGGCCGTAAAAGCTTATTATTTGTGCTAGTCTCAGCGCAAGCTACAAAACTGCTATTTCAGTTCAAAACCCCATGTTAAAAGTGAACTTTTTCCTTTAAGGGGGAGGGGGCAAGATGCTCCCCCCCATCAGGGCGCGTTGCTCGGCAGACCCCATCAGGACTCGGGTTAATGCTTGAACAACATTATGGGTTTAATAATGCCATTTTCTATGGCTGCTATCGACAACGAACCTTTTATTTTCATTTCGTGCTGAATACTACTTAACGACCTAATTAGTGATATAGCCGATAACGTTATGCATCGCTGGCATCAACCGTGTAATCTCTCATCAGTGAAAGCCGTCTTCTGTTTAGGTCACTTGCGTAAAATGTCGGCCGTCGGAGGGACCAATAACGAAGTGAAATATTTATTATCGCGTGCTTGTGGCGTCCGGCCGACGTGGACTGTGATGTCAGACTCCACAACTTTCCACAGCATCGACCGCCACTGGCCGCTGCTCGTGGAAAATTACTACATCAATTGATAGCTTACAGAGCGTTAGTCACGGCATGCTTTTGTTAAAATCTTACTCTGGCTCACCTGTCGATTTTATTTACCTGGGGGCGGGGCTAACGGGGATTTTATTTAACTGACAGTTACTGGGGACCTTGAGGTTTTTCTTTCTTGGAAATTTTTACCCAAACAATTTTCTTACTTTCAAACGTTATGGGCTATGGGATACGTTATTAATATTCTTGACGTGTCCCCATTATTATGTATTATGTAATAATAAACTGCAACCCAAACTTGAGATGGTTCTGTTCCCAAAGTCCAGATCAGCTCACAGCCCACGCGCGTCTCTGCCTGCCGTCGTGCCGCGGGACCGCTCTTTTCGGGGCTGACATCCTCCCAGGTCTCTCAGCTCGTCTCGTCGCTCGGCCAGGGGTGGTGCCTGTCACGGGCTGCCCGCTGAGGGTCTGTTGGGTCGATGGGGCCGCCTCTGACCTGGACCGCAAAATGAACACCAACGCAGTCCCCCCCCCCCCTCCTCCCGCTGCCAGCCCCATAGCCAGGGCAGCGATGTACGAGCTCACGCACCCGACTCTGATTCGGACCGGTGGCACATATTCGGACGTCCGCCTCGCGGTTTGACCGATTTCGAGACAGACATGGTGGCGTGATAGGAATAAGAAAGCTGCTTTCGTGGAATACTTACACTCAAGAGAATATGAGCGCTCAGCACTGTTGTACACACATACAACAGTACTTCTGATAATCTTGTCGAGCTTCAATTATGTAGTACTAATAAATCACAGGCCTCTGTATACCCGTCTCTATGCCGGTGTAAGTGTGTACAGAGGTCTATGGATAGATATAGTCCGAATGAATGAATGAATGAATGAATGAATGAATGAATGAATGAATGAATGAATGAATGAATGACTGACTGACTGACTGACTGACTGACTGACTGACTGACTGACTGACTGACTGACTGACTGACTGACTGAATGAATGAATGAATGAATGAATGCTTTGGTGTAGCCGGGGGATGGGGTGGAAGATCAGGTCACAGGTCACTGACCTGTGTAGCCGGGGGCGCAGTCGCAGGAGAAGCCGCCGACCCGGTCGGAGCAGGTGCCGCCGTGCTGACAGGGCGCCGACAGGCAGTCGTCAGCGTCTGTCTCGCAGTACAGGCCCGTGTAGCCGTCCTCGCAGAAACACTGGCCGCTGCCGACACAGGGGCACCGGGACCGGGTCACCGTGGCACCAGTCGTGGGGACTTTGGTCACCAGGTCACTGACAGCCGAGTCGCAGTGTAGTCCTGGCTATTTGTTTTGATGTACGATGTCGAAAACGCACTGAAAAAAATGAAAAATCGATAAAGGTGAAATATTGACTACAAATCAAATATTTTTGCTATTTTTGAAGATATCGGGTTAAAACTTCCTAGAGTAGATCATCAATATGTGTCAGTGTTAATCATATGTTCCGCTTTTTCGAACGGTCAAAAACGTATGATTAAATACTCAAAAAATTAATTTAAAGGATTTTTTATGTTTAATCAAAATTTGCAAAATATTGAAAATTTGAAATAGCAATTTAATAGCCCTGTGTATTTTGAGTCCTCCCATGCAAAGAAATTGATTTTAGTTTAAAAACTAAGCTCTTGAGAGCGATTGCCGTACTTCATTACTTTGCATCAAAATCGGCCGATCATGACGTCACTTTGACGGCACTCTGACGTCATTTTCGGACGACCCATGGTAGCTACAAAAGTTTCTTTTAGATACAATGTGTAAAATTGATGCAGTCGAAGGTACCGCAAGTTTCGTGTTGATACGTCCAGGGGTTTAGAAGATATTTCAGAAAAAACGGGAGCGGGCTCTGTAGAGCCCCTCCCCCCAGTCATGTTCGGATTAACTGTTTACTCAGCGCTCTGATTACTGCATTGCTTCCGTCCAGTCATCCTTGGTAGTCCCGTTGTCATGGGTTATGATAATAATGCGTTTACTATTATCTAAATCTGATATCTTAATCTGAGATAGGCATAACAAACGCTAGGAGCAGGTGAAATCGTCCCTCTCAGGTTGTAATCTATAGGCATTGGGGAGTCATAAACATGAATCATGTTTCCTTGTTACGAGTATGAGTAAGAACATACGAGTAGCCCGACGGAGAGCGCAAGTTGGCATGTTCTGGCTTAGATCTCACCCGTAGCCAGGCCGGAGTCGATGGGTATTGGATGACCGACTCTGACTCCGCGGCCCTGGCTCTCACCCGTTGCCGGAGTCTGTGGGTTTTAGGCAACTCCGACTCCGACTCCGTAGCCCCGGATCTCACCCGTTGCCGGAGTCTGTGGGTTTTAGGCAACTCCGACTCCGACTCCGTAGCCCCGGATCTCACCCGTTGCCGGAGTCGATACAGATGCCGTGCAGACAGTGCTGCGCGGGACACAGCTGCCGGAGGCTGCAGCTGCTGTTGCGGCGCTGCTGCTGCTGCGGCACGTGGCGCTGCTGCCGGTGCCGGCCCTGCTGCTGCGGCAGCGGCTGGACGCCAGCCGTCAGCAGCAGCAGCAGCACCATCAGCAGCCGTGCCGCCGCGGCCGGCCACCCGCGCCGCGCGCTCATCGCCAGGTCATGACCCCGGCCGGGTCAGGTCGCCGACGGCAGCGCCACCTGGAATCATAACAGATGCGGTTGCGGGCGTCAATGGCAGTGGCGCGGGAACATCTTCCAGACTGGGGGGGGGGGGGGCTGAACCATAATGGAGATCAACCTAGGGTACCCCCAAATCTAGTTTTCGCACCGGTTTTAGGCCACTTATTTTTCAGACCTTTGCCTTTTCAACGAAAAAACGAAAATATTTGCTAAAAAGTGAGGTATTCCATATCAGCTGAATTGCAACCTGGAATCAAGGTTTTAATCTGCCAAATGAGTTGCCGAGCCAGTGAAAGAGGTGGATTTTTCACGCATGCTTTCTTCCTTTGTGACCCACAACCCCTAATTTGGGGAGGACAAGCTGCCCCAACGGTCCCTGGCCTCATGAAAAGTTGTGGGGCACTGCCCCCACGGCCCCACAAGCTTCCCCCACTGCCCCCTCCCCCGGTTCCCGCGCTTAACTATGTATGAATCTATGAATTTATGTTGGTAGATTTCCGATTTCGATTCCTCCAGCTGGGGGGGGGGGGGGGTGCTCAAATACATTACGAGCCCCCCAGCCGAAATGTTGGGGGGGGGGCCTCAGCCCCCGCTAGCCCCCCCCCCCCCGGTTCCCGCGCCACTGGTCAATGGCGTAGTAATGAAACGAAAACCACCATTTTCTTGCTATGAAACACAATCAGTCGAACTTTGTGACCTATAAAATGTGAGTTGTTCCCGATGTTCCAGTGCAACCTGCTTATTACAATACGCCAGTATGGAAAGGAATAATTAACCACTTGGCCAACCGTGATTGATAGCACGCTTCGGGGGTATTCCTCGTCATCTAAATACTCATATTATTCCGCATCCCATTATCTTAATGATACATATATTGTAACACATTATTTGTTCTTTTTTTACCTCGCTCACATATCCCAGAGTTTTTCACTTAAAGATCAAGGTCATTGTAACTCAGAGCTCGTTGCAATGTCGAAGTAGCGTTGGCGACGCATTCCAGTTGCTCCTGTTTGATCACCATCGCCAATGCTTTATGAGGTCATTTTTCATTCCGCCCGGCATGCTGCGTGCTCGGCCCGGGGTCGCTGGCTGGCCGGTCCATTGGACACCAGTCAGTGGTCCACTATAGCTGGCGCGCCGCCAACTCGGACGTTGTCATCCAGACGGTGCGATGGTATCACACCTGGACAAGGGCGCGCCCAGGCCGGTCACAGGGTAGGTGCCGGGCGTGACCTGCCCCAGGGGCGTCCCAACAGGGCGGGTGGCTCAGTTTTGGGGTGATAGTGACAGGTTCTTCCTCCGTTCTGCCTCTGTAATGATGTGCTCGTTAGTAATGCGATTGAATATCCAGCGGAGGAAACAGCCGATCGTTAATTTATGCGCGACGGGGCGGTGGCCTTCGCCGACTGCCGCTGAGGGCAGGACCACGCAGCATCGGGGCTGGTCATTTGAGGCGACCCTGCGAGGGTGGACGCACCTCTGGGTGGACTCCAGTGGTCGTTGGAGATCGGTTGGCTCCGCCGCTGTCATTTGGACACCACAGGGGCCTCAGCAGCGGCCTGCCGGCCCCAGATCGGGACTCGGAGTCCCCTCGATCGGCTGTGTCGTTAGATCCGCGTGCTGAGCTATCAGCCAGGTAGTATAGGATATTGGCGAGTTGTGGTGTTTGGTGTGATCAGTGAAGCGGAGCGGCGGATACACGACCTTCCGGAACTGCACCGCGGACGGCCTCGAAGTGACTCGGATAGTGAGACCGCGAGGTGCGGTGCAGCCCGGGAACCAGCCGAGACGCCGCGCCCGGCGGACATGGTCCCCCTGTGGTTGACCGCGCTGGCCGTGGCGGCGCTGGCAGGGCTCGTCCTGCGCCGCCGCCGCCGACTGCCCGCCGACGGCCGCGTCGTCTACATCATCGGCGCCGACACGGGCTTCGGCTTCTCGAGCGCGCAGCACCTGCAGCGCGCCGGCTGCCGCGTGCTGGCCGGCTGTCTGCACGCGGACGGCGAGGGGGCGCGGCTGCTCGGCCAGGCCGGCTGCCAGGTGATCCCTGTGGACGTGCGTGACCCCGACTCTGTGACGGCGGCGGCCGCCGAGGCGGCGCGGCTCGCCGGCGACGCCCGGCTCTGGGCGGTCATCTACAACGCCGGCGTGCTGGTGCTGGGCCACGTGGCCTGGCTGACGGAGCACCAGGCGCGACACATGTTCGACGTGAACGTGCTGGGCGCGGTGCGGGCGGCGCGCGCCTCGCTGCCGGCTCTGGCGCGGCCCGGCGGCCGGCTCCTGCTGGTCGGCAGTCCGTGCGGCAGCATCCCCTGCCAGGAGGTGGCTGTGTACGCGGCCTCCAAGGCGGCGCTGGCCGCGCTGGCCGCCGGCCTGCAGATGGAGGTGCGCGCCAGCGGCCTGCACGTGGCGCTCGTCACGCCCGGCGACATGGCCACATCCACCAACATCCTGGGCCGCCAGGCCGAGCACGTCCAGCTGATGTGGCAGCACATGGACGCCGACACACGCCGCCGGGACGGCGCTGTGTTCGCCGCGTTCCGCGCGCGTTTGGCCGGCCTGGGCCCGCGGCCGCCGGCCGTGCTGGGCACGCCGCGTCTGCGGCGCGCCGTGCTGCGTGCCGTGCTGGACGTGTCGCCGCTGCGGCACTACACGGCCGTGGAGCTGGGCACGCAGCTGTGGCTGGCGCTGAGCTGGCTGCTGCCGCGGCGACTGCAGGAGTGGCTGGTGGACGCCCGACTGCACTACGCCCTGCACCGGCTCGACTGGGACTGGCTCGACCTCAACAACCTCATCTAGCACTGATTGACGGGCTCAGCTACTAGTAGCTACTGCAGTTAATTCATAGATCGCCGCCTCACTTTAGACTTGCCTCCCATCTTGTCAATTTATCCCGTTTACCATTCTTGCCCATAAGAACAGTTGTGCATCAGTTGTCCCAGCTCAGGAGCCGGAAAAAACGTGAGACGGGTCAGGCCATTCCCATGTATCGCTGACATGACACGCTCTGAACACACAGGCAGTTCTCTACACACAGAAAAATATTGACACCGTTAGCGGTGTAATTGCACAGTACATATCTGAGCACTTGAGGAAAGTTAATTTAGTCCCTTCCCCGCTTAAATTACTCGCGCTTCCAAATGAACACCAGGAAGAAGGTAATAGAACACTGTTAGGAGGGTTGGGTGTTTTGCTACATGTAGCAAACATGTTGCTACATGTAGCAAAACACCCAACCCTCCTAACAGTGTTCTATTACCTTCTTCCTGGTGTTCATTTGGAAGCGCGAGTAATTTAAGCGGGGAAGGGACTAAATTAACTTTCCTCAAGTGCTCAGATATGTACTGTGCAATTACACCGCTAACGGTGTTAATATTTTTCTGTGTGTAGTGCGGGCTTGCTAACTTGAGCGTGTACATACACGCGCTTGCACAGTGTAACGAATGCGTGCTGTATAGGCACAGTTGCATATGTTCTTCTCCGTGTGTGCGTGTGGCGGTGTGGGCCGGACGGCCGCTCGTTCATGGTCTGCCGTGGGTCGCGGCTGCGCGCGGTGGTCCCCTGTAGTCTGTGCTCTGGTCCGACACCGTGTGACGCTGAGTCACGGCTGAGTTGAAAACGGAACGGGAGCTGGCGAGGGATGCGGACGGTCAGCATCAGCAGGCCCGGCCCCGGAACATATCCGCGGCCGAGCGAGCCTTCCGGGATGCGCCGGGGATATACGAGTGTGCGACTAACCCGGGTACACATTGATGTTAGAGTGACGAGATAATTCTGATACTAAGAACTACAAGTAAGTCATAGTTGTTGTAGTTGTAAGTCATAGTTGTGCGCAATACACAGGGAGTATGGAAAATCCTTGGGAAAATCCATGTGTTAACCCGCGCCCCGTTGGGGTCTGCCGAGCAACGCGCCCTGCTGGGGGGGGGGGTCAATTCCCCCCCCCTAAGATCTCGAGAACCACGCAACATAGCGACAAGCGGCAAACGGTGCTGGATAGCCCTATCAGGGAACTACCTTGTGACCCAATTTCATTGACCTAGGTCAAACCGATGACGTCACAGTTCAGGTCAAAGGTCGAATTTTCACCGTTTACAGTCATTTCAAGAAATGCGTTGTAAAATCGAGTAAAATGCATTTCATTGAAAATCATGGATGGGGGAATGTTCGTCAAACACATATATTGCTATTTGAGGTCACTGATACCAGGTCAGGTCACAGAGGTTAGGTCACTGAGGGTCACAATATGAAAATATCATGTGATGCATGTTTTATGGTCCATTTATATGCCAAATACGATTATGTGGGTCAGACTGCCTTTGGGGTCAGCTAAGATTATGTTGTGGTGAAGGTCAGGTCAAATTAGGTCAAATTTCAAAGTTGATATTTTTGCATAAAATGGGTATCGATTCGATGCAGCTCGTCACGGGGAGTTCAATGGTGGTTGGTCTTTGTTTTGCGCTACGTGGTCTAGAATTGCAAAAAAATGAGTTAAAAATTTGACGTCATCAATTTTGAACAGTTTTTTTTTTCGCTATAACTTGGCCAAAAAAGGAGGTATCGATCTGAAATTTGGTACATTGTATATAGAACAGCGCAGGAATTATCACATACATTCCGTTTTTTTCGAAATTCGGAAACATTTTTAGATTTTGTGAGCGTTTCAAGATTTCATGTTTTTTGCTCATTTTGCTCGAACATGACCTCAGTTTGACCTCAATGACTCCTGACTTAAGGTGACCAAGACTTGCAATTTTGTGTGAAGGTGTCAAATTGATGCCCGGGAAGGTACTGAAAATTTGGCGGCGCTGGGCGCCGCCGTTTTCTTGTTATTCAGGAAAAACAGGGGGGGGGGGCTAAATTGGCCCCCCCAGCGGGGCGAGGGTTAAAGAAAATTACACCTTCAATGCGCCTACGAGCGTTATACCTACCTAACCATTTTTACTTCTACATACTTGAGGCTTTCAGCTCTTACAAAGCAATCTATCTATATTATCCAAGATTATATTATCAGTGTGTGCATATACATATTGTTATGAGCGAGCGTGAAGCGCGAAGCGAGTCATTTCGAAATAACGGAAAAATATCAGTTTGAGCGGCCCGGCCCGGCCTGGCCTGTAACACTTTTGAGAGGCTTAAAACTCAGCAACCGCTGCACTGGGCCGATTGACCTGCGGCCTTTTTTGTTATGTAGCCCAATCCCTTCTACCCTGTAACTGACTACTCTTAATGCATCTACATGCGCGTGTAAAATGCAACAAGAAGAGGTGTCAAATTTGTTCTCATTTTAATAACTCGGCCATTACCGGGCGATTTCGCTGAAGCTTGGCATGTAGGTAGGCACCCAGCAGGCAATGCATTCTCATGTGTTACGGTTCGGGTGCTACTGCACGTGCGCACGTGCAGGGGGCGCTTCCAGATCTCGAGAACGGCTGGACCGATTGCACTCAAATTTGGTATGCGGTTAGACAGTAGGGTGCCGTGCGAAAGTCACTTCGCAGTTCGCACCCATGGTTTGCACGTGCTCACATGCAGGGTGCCGCTTCCAAATCTCATGACCAACTGGGCCGATTGCCTCCAAATTTGGCACACCGCTAGTGACCGGTTAGTAGGGTGCCGTGCACAAGCCAGTTGTAAGTACTCTCTCACCCTTCCGCACGTGCAGGGTTCACTCTCGCTCGCTCGATCTTCACTCAAAAGGCGTACCTATTACTGGTATACTAGTAGGTGTGTCATACCAATACCTTTTCTCTCATATCAAGTGTTCCCGCTGGTTTTCCTTGTCCCTGTGCCTAATGAAACCCTGTGATACCTTGATTTTTTTTCTTCTAAATATGAAATATTCGAGCCATGCGCCTTTCGAATCAAATTTCAGATTATCGGCGGCGCCCGGCGTTGCAGTCTTCAATTATCGATACTTTATAGTTCTAATATCACTAATGAATCGGGAAGCAATACGTGCTTTTTCCTTATCTTGTCAGACAAGATAAGGAAAAAATCTCGTACCATTGACGTACCAATGGTACCTATGGTACCACGTACGCACCATAGTTAGTAGTTACCATTGACGTCAAGACAAGACTTGTCTTGACGTCAATGGTACCTACTGCCACATTCCTCGCCATCGAGGCGCAATAGAGTGGCATCCATGTGCTGTTGTTTCCTAAATATACCGACAAGTACTCATTCGTGCAGCGGTAATCGTGGCGCCACGGGACCTAGCTCGATAATAGCCGTTTTCACGACGGCCATCTGGTACACATTTGGTGCGCATCTGGTACAGATCATGTGCAGATTTGGTCAAATCAGGTTCAGTGTGTCTCTTAGCAGCTATCAGGTAGGGTTGCACTAATTGCTTATATGCCTGCTTTGTCATATTATTAGAGAGCATCATCGATTAAAACACTGAAATAAATTCATAAAATGAAGATATTTGCTGCAAAAGAAATTAGGTGCAGATTTGGTCAAATCAGGTGCATTCGCCGGATAGCCCGTCGTGAAAACGGCTAATACTGCGCGATGCCCAATCTTAGGTATGAAAATCTCCCGATAACCAATATCTGTGTCCATCTTACGATAATATATTTAAATTGGTGCGTCACCGTCGTGTGGTGCCTGACTCATTCGTGTCGAGGTTAGATAGCTCTGATGATCCTAAATTCCGGGAAAAGTTGGCAATGAAGTTGCAGTCTCATCATCCATAGACCTCTGTATACCGAGGTCTATGGATGTACATTGTACATATACTGGTATACAGAGGTCTATGCGTCATCTCATGACTTCAAAATAATACCCTGTGCTGAGAGGACGAGTGTTTCTACTTTCTCTGTTATTCTGTCGTGGCAAATACAGCCATGGACGCAAGATACGTGCAATTACTATTTGCCTATCATTCCAACGGACGGTATGCGTGTACCTATTTATAGGAGAGCTGATTTTCCTCGTTTTCTGAGCTAATCGTGGCCACCCCGCCTATATATAGACGGACAGACCCGGACGACAGCTCGTGGGATGGTGGCACCGGAAGTCAAATACATATAGGCGTCGATTGGAACTCGGATCTTCGGAGCTCGGATTTTATCCCAATGTCCTATTAAGGGCATTCCAAACAAAATGAAAAGCTTATTTTTGGTTTCTGAAATTAACTAGCACCACTATATTCCACAAATCTCATTCAGCTTTGTGACAGTTTTCGAACAAATCACGCTTTGGGCGTATTTCGGCCAAAAAGGAGCCCGGGTTCTGGACATTGTAAGGACATTGGACTTGTGTTTTCTGAAACTTGTAAGGCTGTAAGACTACATAGAACCGAACTCGAGTACGGTATCCTAATCACTGAAGCACCATCTCGCATATCATTGAATCATGTTATTTATTATGTGGTCATGTACACTGTACACTGTACAGGTATAATATGGCAGGAGGTGGTATAGCAGGAGGTATATATATAGGAGGATAGCAGGAGGTATATATAGCAGGAGGTGGCAGGAGGTATAATATGGCAGAAGGTGGCAGGAAGACTGCCACCTTCAAAAAGTTTTCTCAGATCGGCCTATGATTTATTCCCTGGACAAAACAAAATTTTAGAATTCACCTGACAAAGTATCATCACGTGAATCGCGAAAAAAAATGTCGATTATCATACAATTATCAATCGGTTAATGTCTAGCGACAATGTTTACACATCACTAGACTTCAAGATCATAAGATTATTACATTTTATTTGAAAAAGTAAGGTATTTTATGATTTACTAATATATGATTTCATAAGAAATTGGCCATCTTTAATTTATTTTGCA